ACCTTGCTCTAGTAGAAATACGCATAATTGTTTTGTTTTGCAGGATTGACTGTGGAGTGTACAAAAGACAAAATGATTGTTACACTGGAGTACGCACCAATCGTCAAAATTGACCTCGACAAAGTTACTCTAAAGGATGATGACTGCCCATTGTCTGAATACGGGTCTCTTAACAATACACACTTAATGATGAACACTCCGCTTGATTCGTGCAAGACTAACTACACCGCCGAAGGAGACACAATCACTTATCAAAATAGCCTGATAGTTAAGAGCCGTGATGAAGGCGGCGAAGACAGCGAAGGGATTTCCAGAGAGTTTACCACAGAGTTTATATTCACATGCTCCTATCCCAGTTCCGCTTTGGTGTCTGTCGTCAACTTCTCTCCACGCGAGAAAGTTATCTACACCAAGACAGGTAAAGAACTTGAAATTGTATTTAATACCTTACTGATAGAGGAAGTGAACTTAAAGTGGCTATGTCACGATGATATTCCTGTTGTTGGTCAATAGGCCCTTTGCAGCCAGAGGTCACGTGCTTGGATACCACCTAGCAACACGAAATTCCGTGCTGAAATCATTACTGAAAATGCTCCTGTAAAGTTATGAACTTCATCAGGGAGCACAAACCATAATAATTTTTTAGAGATTTTTGCGGGCATAGCATCAAAACTTGGAAAAATTGGCCCAACTTTTCCTAGTTTCAATCAATGTCCATCTTTGACATCCTTTAAAACAGACGACAGGAAACAGTTTCAATACCTAAATATAGCGTTGAGTTACAAAACTGGACCAAAATTTTTGGAATTCAACGTATGCAAACAAAAGTTTTAGCTTTTAAAAAAGATAGCAAATATCTTGACATAGCTCTTAACTGTGTGCTCCAGATAGTCTTCCAGTTCACATAATTTCAAAAGTCCATTACTAAGACCGAAAGAAAATCCAGTTTGGTTATTGTACTGAGAAACAACTCCAGCTATGGTTAGGTCACCCCTAGACAAGGGACTTTAAAATCACCTGTTCGGTGCCCTAACAAAGCGACCAAGACTTAATGACAACTCATAAATTGTGCTTGTTACTGACTCTCTTTGGAAAGGAGTTATCCACAGATTCAAACGGTAGTAAACCCAATTTTGCAATAGCTTTCATTTGATTGGTTACACTTCAGGAGTTTATCCACAGACCTCAAGTACTGCTCAGTAGGTTAATGTCCAATCACAATTCTTCACCAAAAGACACTTAAAGAGCAAGAACCACCTCTTTGGCTTTTGGCTTAGAATTCAAAAGTACCTTAAAAAATTATTTATTCTACCTGAAGACGAACTCCTTATGAACTCTTTTGAGTGTAATAAAAAGAAGGCATAGGTAAAGAGTCTGTATTTTACGTCGGTAGCTTAAAATGGTCATTGCCTGACTAACAAACCTGAGGGCGAGGGCGGGCTCATTTTACCACCTCTCGCGGACAAAGCGTTTCCGCTCGAGTTACAGCTGTAGTTGAAAAAGTGGAGAAGAGGGCAAGAAAGAGGAATGAAGGGGGATGAGGGAAAAGGAAACTTCTTTACCCCTTCCCCTTCCCCTTCTTTCTTTCTTTTTTCTTTTTCGCTCTCGCTCAACTTTCGTAAACATCTCGATCAGAAACACTTGTTGTTCAGGCTAAGAGATAACTGCCGTTAAGACTACCAGGGCGGGACTTTAACCTAGCTCAACCAAATTGCCTCGCTTTCCAGTTTATCAATGAGCTTAAAAAGGCTTTAGTACCTTTTACCTAATGGTGATCTAAGATGTTTTTTTTTTCAATTTACAGTTGAGTATGGCAACTTTACCTATATGATGGACATGTACGAGACGGATCAGTACGAGACCCCATACGACAGCTACCCTGTAAACTTGAACCTCAATGACCCTATGTACCTGCAGGTGAAAGTCGTGTCCAACGATTCCCAGTTGGTGATAATTCCTGTAAAATGTTGGGCTACTCCTGAGCCTGACCCAGAGGCTAGCGACTCTTATACATTCATCAAAGACGGGTAAGCACTGCAACCGACTTTCAAGGGTCCTTTTCTTCTCATCTAGTCTGCTTCGCGGCCGTTCTTTGTGTCGTCGCGCAGCGCTACTTGAGACGACACAGATTTAAGAAACAATTTTCCTTACTTTACACTAGAAAACAACAGACTGAAGGACTCTGGTAGTTGGGTGTAACTACGCGAAAGAACGAAGTGGGTAAGGAGAAGAGGAAAGAAGTTACGGATTGTTGTCACCTGTCTCGTCCCTCCCATGTCTCCTTCCTGTCTCCTGTGACTCTTGCACTACCAACCGAAATTATATCGCTAGCCCCGCTCTTCCCTCCCCTTTGCCCATCACAAAGAAAACGCCCGTACGCTTTCTTCATAGAAGAGGGCTAAGCTTCTGTTTTGTTTGCTTCACGTAGTTGCAACAGTGATGATACCCTGGAGTTTGACTACGACCAGAACGCTGTACAGAGATTCACTTTAGACGCCTTCTACTTCCCTGCATACACTGGCCCGGATGATTTGGTGTATTTGCACTGTGACGTTCAATCCTGCCGCAAGAATGACAGTGACTCGCGCTGTGCAGAGGGATGTGTGAACAACGAAATCATGAAAAGAAAGAGGCGAGACCTGCTAAGTAATTCTTTACAGCAAACAATCTCTGTTGGGCCGGTGATAAGAAATGATCAAAGTGATAAATTGGAAAGCCGTAAGTAGTATTTAAAGTTGACACCACCGACACAACGATACTGACATCAAGATAACGTTTTGTGACTAAAAGTAAAGATAAGGCCCCAGTAGTTCAAACGATGGATAGCGCTATCCACCGGATTGATCACTATCCAGCGGATAAGTATTAGGGACACCAATTGTGCTATCCACTGAAATAGATTTATCCAGTGGATAGCGCTATCCACCGTTTAAACAAGGGGGTCCAGTTTTTCCTCTTTATGTCGGTATGTCCGCTACATGTTTGAACTGTGGTTATGGCGCTCATGTGAACTTGCTTTATACCGTTCGTTTGGTGATGTCAAACACTGCCTCTGACTCCCAAACCTTGGTCGCGTGTATCACCTGTGTTTAGCCAGAAGCCCATGATACTGGCTCCTAGATTAGCCCTGGTGAAAATAATATGTCAAACACGACACGCAGTGTTTTCATTCGATCTGAAACCACCGCAGGCGACAAACAAGCCGAAGACGACTTGTTTTTAGGTCTACCGACATCTAAAATAAACAATGATTTTAGTTATAGTTCAGCTGGTTTTATGTGAATCGCCTTAGGGCCGGCGTTTTAATTTCACGGCTAAAGGAGGTATGTGGAACGTCTCAGCCGATCCAAACAAAATCAGTTCATGATCATGTATAAGATATCGCTTACTTCACACTGACAGCCAAATAATCACATCACACGTATCTCGCTTGTTATTAAAAGGTTTGTACAGCAGCACTTATGTTTAACCTTTGTTTCCTTTTTTTGTCCAGATAACGCCGCCGAAAGCCAGTCACTACCAGTATTTGCTATAGTTGCCGGTGTTTTGGCCCTCGCAGTAGTGGTTCTGGCTGTTGCCTTGGTGATGTTGTACAAGCGCTACACCAATACCCACAATGTCGCAGAGTCTGTTTAAACCCAACCGCGAGTGTAAACAACCGCGGATCTGAAAGGACTGGAAGCTTTTTCGTCTACTGGCATATTCAACAGCTATTTGAAGCTTTCTCTGCTTCTTTGTACATGCTTAACAATAATAAGGAACTTATAAGCCATAATTGTATTTTCGGCAGTGAACTGGACTAGCCTGAAGTCAAGGTTCAGGATTTTCTCCCTGAGCCTCGACTGCAAGCTAGTTCCAATTCATTGCCAAGAATAAGAAAAATAATGGACAAGCATTAGTAATGAAAGGTCGATTGCTTAGACTGGCCGCTCCAACCGATCCAGAAATCTTTGCGCCAAAAGCTTGCCCCTGTTTTCCCTGTGGGCCTAAGAGTGATGAATATGGTGTAAAAAACCAAGACGGCGACGGCAACGAGAATATCAATAAACAAAAGCTTTAATGAGCAAAGCAACAACACCGCACGTCATCACACTTATGATACATTCAGTCGTTTCATGGTGAGAGGTAACACACCACGAGGATTAATTTCGCCATCGCTAAGTTTGAATGTGGGCCCTGGCAATTCAAGTCTAGGAGAATTTCTGCATTTGTAAAATCGAGGGCCTAAGAATAATCGCCTCAAAATTTGATGTGAATTAGTGACATTTTCACCGCCGTCCCTTCTTGAGAATGGCCTTTTGCTTTACACCACACTTAGTCGAAACCCACCTACCCCTGGAGTAAACACACATTACTTGTAGGCTAGCATGTTTCTGATTGTTTTCTTCAACTTTGCGATTTTCGTTAATAAAGACCTTGAGTTGCCTAACTCTCCTTTTCAAAAGAAGACTAACTGTAAAATCTTTGAAAAGAAAATAATTTTCTATTGACACTCGATAGAAACATTTTCTGGCATCGTAGAGTCGCCTTGACCTAATCAGGGGTTATTCGAGGCCAATAACTATATATATAGTAAAATATTAGGTAGTCAATTATAGGGAGATTGTTGTTCAAATCAAGCACTGTATACGCATAGAGGAGAATCCTGAAGATACAGTGAACACAACTCCCTCTCTCTTTTTCAACTCCTCTAGTTAAGTTAACAATGTTCTTTAGGTTAATGTATTCTCTGCCACTCGCATGCATAAACTTAGCTGCTAATAAAATTGTTTTTGATAACTATATCCCAGTGTCATTATTCCAACCAGAATTAAAGGCTGGATTTCAGAATGATAGGTCGACCAATGCTCTCATAAATTCGAAAATGTTGGATTTATTTACTGAGTTTATAAAATAAATTGGCTAACGTCGTGGAATTCAAAATCTGACAGTTTCCATGGAAACTAACCCCTCTTAACACAAAACAGTTCCCACTAGAGGTGACGGCAACCAGCTTCATCTTTTTTTTATGCTTTTATATGATAAGAGTTTCCAAAAGGTGAATCTTTTAAGTTTATAACGTTAACACTGTACGGCGCCACACGCAAGATACGAATATAAGTTACAAAAACAAATATCTTATTACCCACCCCCTTCGGGGCTTTTATGGATAATAAACAAACCAATGATGTGGGAGTTTGCCTGACTTCTTGAAGCAATAAGTTGTGACTGCCATCTATTAACTTATGAAACAGAAGTTGATTTGTGACTTTTCTTGGGCCATGGCTTTTGTTTCAAGTCAGTTACGGATCCAGACCTTCAGATAAGGGGGGGCGGTCATCCAGACCCTGTCAAAAAAACCTTTTTTTAGACCCTTTAGTCCTCATTTTGGTCTAAAAATAAGGGGGGACCTGATCCCCCCGGGCCCCTGGATCCGCCACAGCAAGTAAAGGGTCAGTATCGAAAGGGAGCTCCCCTTCAACGCCTGGCTAACTTTTTATATTGTCGAGGACTAGTACAACGCCAAATGAATACTTCTATCTACCACTCCCAGCCAAACCCCCCAAAGGTCTTGTCGACTTTCGTCTTCTTGTACCATAGCCTGAGAAAAAGGCCGACATTTTTGCGACCCCACCACTGGGTTTCCCCGCAAAATGACGTCTGAGAAACAAGCGCTGATATTCCATACTGAAGACTTGTCACCATCCAGATTTTGGTAGTGCTTCTAATTGGTCGTACTGAGTGGAAAATTTGCTTCAACCAATCAGAAGCACCACCTAGATCTGGGTAGGAACACGTCATCAATATGGAATTTCTGCGCTCGTTTAAACCCGTTAGCGTCGTGAAATGTCGGCTGTTTTTGTAAATTGTAAATATCTTATTATCCACTCCCCACAGGGCTTTTCAGGGATAATTTACAACACTGGTTGGGGAACTTTGCCAGACTGCTTAAGGTGCAGTTTACAAGTACTGAAGGAATGAGTGATGATGCCCCCATACATGAGTGTGAAAGTGAGATAGACCACTACACCGGGCACTACGTGCTCTACTCTTTACGAAGAGTGTGTGGGTTCGTTAACGTCCCACAGATTTATTACATGTGCAAGGGCTTGTGAGACGGGGCCTACGGTTTATCGTCCTCATCCGAGAAGACTAGAAAGTCTAACCATTTGCAGATGTTATTACAAAGTGCTGTTACTACAGCACTTTCTCCTCAGTTATTTAAAGACCCTGAGTGTTGGTCCGGCCGGGGTTTGAACCTACGGCCTCCCGCTCTGCAGACCGGCGCTCTCCCAACTGAGCTAACCGGGCGGCGGTTTTTCAGGCTACTTGTACAAAGAAGCCGCTGGGGACAAGCTTACATTAATACAGTTACTGTAATAACTGTTGCATTTTTTGTCCTCGAGAGATCCTCAAGAAATTCATAAAAAAATGGCATGGTATGGAGTGAAACCCTGCTAGTGTTTAATAAACCTTAGCAAAAATGAAAACATTAAAGTATTAATTCAATGGAGAATCGGATGTTTATCAACGCTTTCCAGGAAACGATCATGTTTCACAGGAAGTGGCATATACGCATATCATTTAGTCCATGAACCCCTCGTGTTTGTACCATTTGTGCCCATTGAAATGTAATTAAATTTGCTGTTTTCTATGCACGTGCCCCTATTTGTCTCAACAAGATCTAAAATTTGTTTACTTAGCTCCAAAAACGTAATTGAACTCTCAAAAAAAAAAAGCTAGTAGTGATGGCACTTTGCCTGAGGTCTTTTGATGAAAAGTAATTTGGCCTGAGCCCTTTTATGTTTGAGACTGAGACTGAGACTGGAATGTCCAACATTAGCCCGGTTTACACCGCAAATCAGCTGGTGCTGGTATTTACCTAGCTTCTAGCAACAATCAATTTTTCAATGTGTTCGTAAGGAGCGAATCCTTCGCCTAGTATTATAGAAAAGAACATCCGTTTGCGTCATGTACACTGGAAGGCACGGAAAATGTTCGAAAAGAAAGAGAAGCTGATGAACCGAATAACGCATTCACAATTTTGTCGTTTTTAAGCGACAATTTAAATATTTGAGTACCATAAACGAAATTCATTTCAAAGCCAAAATAAACTGCCAATATGCATGTTAAAAAGAAGAGGCGGATTAAATTACCGACTGTTTCATGAAGATCTGTTCATTGCCAATTAAAGATACTACACTGGAACAACAAATTTAAAAGAAAAACAGAAAAAGACTGGCTTTGGCCGATCTTACACGAAGACACAATTCTTTGGGATCTGTACAAGCCCCCATGTCTGCACTAAACGCACAATTTTTTGATAAAAATAGTCCTGCCAAGTATCTCTTTTCATTTACTGTAATTGATGAATCAATATTGCGGTATTAAAACACACAAAAGCGATATCAAACCTGCCGTACAGAAAAGATATTAAATCTTCAGCGATTCAGTTAACAAGAACATTTGACTTTTCAAAGGGAATTATTTTGTTTGGATTTGAAGCGAAGCGTATTTCTTAATATCCAGCTATCATAAACCTTAAAAAGGCAATAAACAGCCAATCAGGAGCCGCGAAAAAACACCGGTTTCCGTAGCTACCGAGGCTGACAGAAACACCTGTCGAAAATACAACACTGGCGAATCACATGAAGCGAGAAAAAGCGGAAAATAAAAATCTCAAGCTTTTTTGCATAATAAATATCGCTCGCTCTTCTGAGACGTTAAATGGCCTCTTCCCGCGATAAATCGGCGGTATATTAAGGCAATTGGGCTCTCTTCAAACCTTGATATCGGCGAAAACTCGATTCGAAGGACGCGGTGTTTCTTGGCAATTTTCAATATCGTTGGACATGTTATGTTGCAACGCTGGCAGTAAATGACCGTCTGTATAATTCGTACACTCAAAGATTATCCTATCATAGTGGCACGGTGTGGATTGTATTTTTCATCACGCGTAAAAATATCCTACGTTTTGAATGGAAGCCATGAGATTGCGAAAGCTGACTTTCGTGATTCGATGAAAGGATGATGAACGGCTCTGAAGAAAATTTAAAAGCTGTAATGAAAAGGAAATTTCGTTTGCGATTGTTCGACTAAACTTGTGATACAAGGGTTTATTTTTGCACAGCGATAGAACAACCTTGATTTACCAGACAAGAGTGGAGCGGATTTACCAAAGACCGTCATTTTGTGGCAATAACATGGCGAATTACGCTAGAGACAAAGAATATATTTTGAAGCAACTTGCCATGGCTAAAGAAACATTAACGAAATTAAGGGCCCTTACTGATTCAAGGAATTCAGTAGACAGTCGGCTCAATGGACAAAATGGAAGTTCTTCGCCGGGCACGGAAAGCGTGAATGGATTTGATGACTTTAAACATGAGAGCGACGAAAGAAGTTCTGGAGTAGGGATGGAATCGCCGCGTTTTGATTTTTACACACAAAACACGAATTTAGTGAGTGATAAATCGCATGTTGCGCGCGATAGTCTTGTTAGAGTGCTGGGTTTACAGGTGTCTAAATTGGAGGACGATTTGAAAGTCGCCCTGCTGGAGTATGTTGAACAAATGGAAGCACAGAAAGAAGAATTAATCTCCAGCTTTGAAACAATGCACGCACAACTTTCAAAACATCATGAAATCTGTCAAGAACATAACAGAGAAACGGCAGAAAAAGACGCGTGTATCGAACGTCTTAAAGTTGATAAACATACATTAGAATTGGAAGTAGAGAAATTAAGAGGAGAAAATATGCATTTTAAAGCTACGGGTGGGCACGCACGTGAAAACGGTTACAAACTGTCGCCAGGTTTTGTTGAACATGACGAGCTGAGCGAAACACTCATGAAGGAAAATTCACGTTTAAGAGAAAGGCTTCGCAAATACGAGACAAGCGATTATGCGCGAATGGAGAGGAAAGTAGCTCTTCAAGAAAAATTGTGCGAGTCTTACAATAAAGACGTTATGTCCAAAGATAGTTCACTCAAGCGCTTGAAGGCTGAAAACCGAGGTCTGCATGAAGACGTCAAAAATCTTCAAGACGAAGTTTTAAGAGTGAATGCAAATCGCCTGAATGCAGAACAAGATAGAGCGAGATTGCAGCAGGAATTGCAGTTTAGCGAGGAGCAAGTAAGTACACTGAGAGAAAAGTTGAGCAGCGCTACCGAGCAGACCAGATATTTACAAAGGTGTATAAACGATGGAAATTCCAAGGCAAACACTTCTACAGGTAATCTGCCTGAACTGGAAAAAGAGATTTTAGCCTTACGAGGCAAATGTGAAAGTTACAAAGATAAATTGAATGACAAAGAAAGATTCCTTGCTTCTGTTACTGCAGAGAATCAAGGCTTGAAAACAGCTGTGGACACCATGAAACGACAACTGGCTGCTGTAAGAGGCGAAGAACGTTCGCTTAAGATCGAGAATGAAAGATTACAGAAAGAAAACGCAGATAGAGAGATTGATCGCTTGAGCTCCGAAACAACGACTGAAGCCCACAGCAACAAGATCTCTAAAATGAAACAAGAACTGCACGACTTCGAAAGGAAGGTTAGCGAACTGGAGCTACAGCGACAAAAACACGAACAAAGAGAAACTGAGTTGAGCCAAGACATGATGGCCAATCTGGAAAAGTACACTCGAGTTGAACAACAGTTATATCTCTCGAAGAAGGAGCTTACACAACTGCAAGGATTTTACGAGTCAAGCGAGGCGAAAAAGGGGGATTTGCAAGTAGAGTTAGAGAATTCCAGACAAAGAATTGTTAATTTGGAGAGACAGTTAGATGAACGTCGAAGAGATGATGAGGGGAATGAAAGAATGCATGATGTTGTGAAAGAAAACAAAGGCTTGAGCGAAGAAAATAGAAGATTAAAGGAAGAATTTGAAACAAGCAAAACTGAAATAGAGGAATTAGAAGAGGCGTTGCAAAATGCACGGGAACAAAATTCCTTGCAAAGAATGAGACTGGACGCACATGATACCTTGATGAAGAGAAAGGATGAAAGAATTAAAGAATTACAAAACGAGTTAGTGGTATTACATAATCAAATCGATGATTTGACTGACGACATTCTCAAGAAAAACAGAGAGATGGATGCTTTACGAATGTCAAAAAGGCTTCTGGAGCAAGAAATGGAGCTGTCAAGATCTGCGGGAAAGGTAACCGCTAAATCTGTTTATAGAGACGTCACAGCGAAAGATAACTCGCCACTGTATCCCACTATAGACCCAGCCAGTCCAGACAGTGGGTTCTCTGACATGGAACGAGAAAGGGCCATTGACAGATTAAGAAGAGAATTCCTTTTCCATCCTCAACAACCTATTCTGTATGAGGAAAATCTTGAAACCAGCGAGGAAGCGAAAATTCGCGAGGATTTAGCTCTCGCAACTCGCAGACTCAGGGAAACAGAGGGAAAATTGACAGACGTGATTGCTGAGAATGAGAATCTTAAAGATCAGGAACACGAAGCGAGGAGTTTACAACTACAAATGAAAGAGGAACTTGCTAAAGTGATTGCTGAAAAGAACGAGTTAGAAAATAGAGAGAAGAATCTCACACAGCTTTTGGAGGAGAGGAAAAGAATTGTGTCTCTAGTCGATAACGAGGAATCATTAGAATCCAGTGAGGAGGAAGAAAGTTTGCTTGTTATAGACGAGCAACCGATAGAAAAATCCTTCTTACAGCCTGTTCTAGAAACAATTCCAGAGAACGCTGAAGTTCATTTTCAACATGAGCCCGTGGAGGAGAGCCTTATCGATTTTCTGGACGAATCGGACAGCCTTCACTTACAAACGCCTCTAATGGATCCTATCACTGAACATCATCAGACAACAGAAGAACTTGAAAGAAAAGTACAAGACCTCGACACACGTTCAGAAAAATTAAGCGCGGAGAAAGAGGAATTGTTATCAGCGTTAACAAATTCTCGAGATGCTCAGGAGAAGATGGAGCAGAGGGAAAACGCAGTTCAGGAGCACAAGGAAGAAAAACTTCTCACCAAAAACGACGAAATGCCAGATAAAACTCATGATTATGAGTCACGTTTAGCGAAGACGAATGCAGAGAAGGAGAATCTATTGTTAGAGTTACAACAAACAAGGGAAAACTTCAGGGAGATAGAGAAAAAGTACACAGATTCTCAGAGGAATAAAAAGGAACTAGAAATTAGAAAAGAAGATCTGGCCAGTAAAATAACTGAATATGAATTATGCTTGTCGAAAATGAACGAGGAAAATGAAGAACTGCAGATGGAATTAACACACACTCGAGAAAACCTAGCATGGTTTGAGAACGAGGCTAAAGTTTTACAAGATGATAATAACGACCTTGTGAATAAAACGAAGGAACTGGAGGAAAACATTCAAAACTATGAAACAAGTTTAGCAAACATGAATGTGGAGCATGAAAAGTTGTTGTCAGAGGTAACACACACTCGAGAGAATCTTCGAGAGACGGAAAATGAGTGTAAAGCTGAGCGTAAGAACAGGGTAGAACTTCAAAAGATAATGCAAGAGGAATTGTTAGCAAAGGATGATGAAGTTGCTAAGTTACAAAAAGAGCTGTCGGTGTTATGCGAGGAACAAAAGCGTTTGCAGGAGTTTGTTGATAGCTCCAAGGAGACTGTTGCCAACGCTGAGGAGGAGTTGCTAAAAGGGCAGAACATTATTCTTGATCTAGAGAAACAACGAAACAATTTACGCACCCAGGAGAAATCTTTGAGAGAGCTTCTGCACCAATCGGAGGAAAGCAATGCGAGTTTGCAAGTTCAGCTTGGAGAGATGGAGCAGGCTTATCGGAAAGTGGACAAGGAAACCAAAGCTTTGCAACAGCAAATTATTCTTGAACAACAGGGATCTACACAACTGGAGCACCAAGTTGAAGATTTCAGGAAAAAGGTCGTAGTGGAACAAGAAAAGCAGAAAAAAGTTTCGGAAAATTTGGACGAAGTGCAAAAACAAAATGAACATTTAAGGCAACAACTGGAGGACGCTGAACATGTTTTGGAAAATTCTCACAAAGAAAAAGCAAAAATGATCTCAGCACTGCAAGATACTATTCGAGAAAAAGAAAATGACATAGAAGAACTTCGAGAAGAATTATTAATCTCTGAACAACGTTATAACGAAATCAAGTCGCTGTCCAGCAACAATCAAACTGAGATTTCGGACTTACAAGCCGAGTTGATTGAAACTAAAGAACAGTTTTTCACAGTTTCACAAGACAAGGCAAAACTTGTACGTGATCAAAAGGAACTGGAGCAAGAAATCGTTGAAAAAGATGAGAAAATAGCTGCATTGGAGATTGACAAAAGCGAGGCTAAAAGAGAAATCTTCACGGGAGAGAAACAAGCGGAAGACCTTTTTGACAAGCTAAGAGATTGCGAAAGTGAGGTCAGAAAACTAAGTGAAGAGAACAAACAATTGAAGAAAGACGTGGAACAGGCAGTTCACAATAACAAAGAACTGGAAACGTTGATAGCGGAAAGCAACGAAGAGGGGAAAGCTCTTGAACAACAGCTGTCAGCAGCTCACGAAAGCATAACAGACTTAGAAACGGCGTTTGAGAGGGGGGAAGACAAGAATCTACAAACTGAAAAATCTTTCCGCGAAGCCAAAGAAACAATCGCAAAGCTTGAGACACAGTTAGAGGCAAGGCAAGACGAGTATCGTGCTTTGGAGAGAGATTATAATGAAACAGAAAAGGAACTCGAAAGAGCACAAGACGACCTGGATTCAAGCCAGGGTAAACTTACCAATTTAGAGAGGAAGCTGAGAGTTGCAGAGGAAAATGTTTCAGAGCTTGAGATGGCCAGGGACAATGGACTTTCAAACGAACAGCTACTTCAGCAGAGATTTGCAACAGCGCGAGAGGACATTGAGAAAATGGAGAGAGATAATGATGAGCTCAAAGAAAAGCTCATGACGGTGGAAAAGAAACTAGGGGAATTGTTATCAAGTCACGAAACATTGGAAGACGGAAATGAAGAGCTTGAAAATGTCAACAGAGAGCTTCTCAAAGAACTGGAGTACGAACGAGACAGACGTTCGGCTTTAAAACAAAAAGTTGAAACTAAGGATAGGGAAAATGACGTTGTTCAAAGAAAACTTCAGGTGCTTGAGAAAAGCATAACAGAAAAAGATGACTTACAAAATAAAAGCGTGGAGGAAAAGGTTAAGATGAAGGAAGAGCTAGCAAAGGCTAAGAAAACTATCTCCGAGTTAGAAGTGACGAAAGAGAATCAAGAGGAAAGCATACATGAAATCGAAGAACTTCTGAGAGAAACGCGTGGTAGGACGACGAGTCTTGAACAGCGCCTTGAGGAAGCGCTGAGAGAAAACGATGATTTACATGAAGAACTTGAAGAAGTGAACAGAAAGTTGAAATATACTAAAGAAGAAAATACCGAGTTGGAGAAGATGTTGGAAAATCAAAAACAGATCACAGATAGCTTTCGAAATAATCTTGCAGAAAAGGAGGAGAGTGTAATGAATTCCAATTACAACCGTGACGCAGCTGAGAGGAGTTTGCAGTCGATGAAGAAGGACCTCGCACGAAAGGACGCAAAGCTTAAAATGCAAAAGGAACAGATAGAGGACATGGAGAATGAAGCTGAAAAGACTGGAAGGAAAGTTAGGGAAACCGAGTCTGCAAATAAAAAACTCATCAATGAAAACGATAGACTCGCGAAGGAATTGGCTGACGTCAAAGCAAAGATAGTAAAGTTAGAGGCGACGCTTAAAGAAAAGGGCAGGGCAAATTCCGAACCAAACGTTCCTGTTGTCCGTGTGTCGGAAGTCCAATCCAACCCAATTGCAGCAGAGAAACTAATTCGCGATTGGTCAGACAAACTTAGCACCGCTCAGGTCAAAGTAACGGACCTCGAAAATGAGCTTCTAAAAGATATAAAGAAGCACGAAGCTAAGGTTCACCGAACTCGACCTGTCCCTCGCGAATTGCGAAGAAGAAGCGCAGATTACGTTCTAACGGATCATGGGAGGCCCAGTCGGTTCAGGTCCCGACAGCGACCGAACACAAGTCGTGACAGCTCTGTTGATTCTCTCAGATCAACACAGTCTATGTTGGATTACCTAGACGAAAGAATCGCAGATGAAAATCTCCTTTCTGCATCTGGTCCTATAGAATCAAGTACTGATTTACCAATGGCTTTGCGTTCCGAAACTGCTACTCCGCTGGCTTCAGAAACAGGTACACCACTCCCCTCAGAGAATGCCACGCCTGTGCCCTCAGAGACTAGCACTCCAATAGCAGAGGGGAATGGTACTCCGGTGTTTTCAGATAATGAGAGCTGGTCTGGTGTTCCTGTGACGACAACGGCCAATGCAAAGTCTCTGAACACGCCAGTTACGACACCAGAAGAATCAATCGATGACAAGGAATTCTCACCGAAGCAAGAGAGCAAGCAGCAAAAAGTTGTTGAGACGCAGTCAAATTCACGAAGCGAGGACGTACATTATCTTGGCCAGAGCCTGGAGAAAATTCTTGAGCCAAATGTGGATGATCGACAATCACTTTTCTTGGACGAGTCGTCACAGTCAGTCGGCCAAACAACTACGCCAAACAGAGAAGAGGACAGGGTAAGTAGGAGAGTGGAACAGGAAACTGAATCTGAGATGAATTACCAACGGCCAGTATTTGCTGAACCCACCGAGTATCTTCCCAATGAGAGAACAGAAGTAGACTCAGAGCCTTCCCAGAGCAATTATGAACAGTTACTATTGACTGAAGGACAATCAAACAAAATGCTTCTTTCAGACAGAGGAGAAATTATCCCTGATACAGGAATACAGGGTACACCAGAACAGCAGAACACCTACGGAAACCGTTCCTTTACAGATGGAGATCTTCGGGAAAATATCTTCCATCTTCTACCTACAAATGAGAGAGAACAGAATGCTGTCTATGTTAAAACGGAAGAAGAGTCCGGTCAGCAGTTATTGTTGATCGAGCCACCATCGGAGGATATGTTCCCGTTCAACACATTGCCTTCAAGTAATTCCTCCTCGATTACAAACGTCACAGACCTCACATTTCAATCAGCCGGATCCCCTGTTTTTCCCGAACAAATGCTACTCGTTACCTTTGATCCTTTAAACGCTACCGACTCCCGACCGCTCGACCCTTTTGAACAGCTTATGAGAGACACTCAACACGGAGGCAAAAGGGTCCTTCGTACGAACGAAGTTGATGACGTCCGGATTGACTTTGATGATAGCACAGATAGTTTACCCTTTGACTTTCAAGGAACAGAAAAACTGAGAACGGTTGATCATGAAACCAGTGAACAAACTAACATCGTCGATACCGATCACGTGACACATAGGACAAGCGGTGATTCGCTTCGGGTCCCCGACGACCATGGACGAATTACTGACAACGAGCAGTTGCCACAAGAAGGCAGAAATGAATTTGGGCAAATCCAGGCAAATGACTTGCCAACTACAGCTTATAGTGACGCCGAATCACACAAATCAATTGAACCAACTCCTCCACCAAGAAAGATGAAAGAAAAATTGACACCCGTTTTGTTTCCTCGAGGAGAAAATAATTTGAACGAAGGTAATGAAAGTAAAAACAACAAGAAATTGGAACCAAAACCTTACAGTGTTATGATCATGGTTGACGACGAAATCGTCGAAACGCCATTGGAAAAAGACTTAAGTCCGTCTGATGGTGGAAAGAAGAAACCGAAAAGCCCACCTCAGCCCGCGGTTCTCCAAACATTTACCAACGTTGATGAAGAGGAGATTTCTACATCACCAAGTAAAATAAAGAAAAGGTTACAGGATGAAGTAATTCAAGCACCGTCAGGTAAAAAACCTATAGCTGCTGATGAAGTGAAAGTTAAACCAGTTCGTCCGCCGAGGCCTGGTGTCCCTGTGCAATTCGCCAACACGGAGAGCGAAGATGGTTTCACTTCGCCAAGAAAAGTAGAAAAGACATTGAATGAGGACGAAACATCAAGCCTTGGGGAGGAGAAAACGAAGGCAAGACCTAAAAGGCCGCCAAAGCCACTGGTTCCAGTAGAGTTCGCCGATGTAGAGGAGGAAAACACTTACAAGTCGCCAAGTCAAATACGAAAAGAGTTGGAAGAGGCAAGCAAGAAAGGCCAGCGTACAGTTATTGGACCAAAGCCAACAGGACGACAGCAGAAAGCTCAGATGGCTGATAACAGAGCTGCTCAATATCAGATTGAGGGGAAAAGGAAAGAGAGTACAGCTGACCACGCCCAGGGGGGAGAACAGGCAGATGAGGAAGGGGAGACAATGGGAAAGGGACGACTTTTAAAGTTGATTGCTGCTTTTAATAGATAAGAAAAAATATTTTTAACAATCAATGTTCTCTGATACTGAAGGAAAGCCCGGTTCAAAGCGTTTTGACATCTACTTGGGTTAGCCAACGAGAAAAAGCGGCCGCGAATGCCTCACCGCTGCGTCTCGCTTTTCTCGCGTGTGGTGATTTTCACGCACGCTCGCGTTTCGCTCGCTCTACTATCGCTGAGGAAAAATGGGGGACTACTCGTAGTCTAGCCTCTTTAAAATACCTTGAAATAATTATCATACAACCTAGAATAAGACGTAACGAACATAGATTATCTCTTTAAATATTTAAAAATGCTAATCCATGAATGAACCAAATGGTTTAAACAAGAAAACAATTCGGTGAAAGGTATAATCATTGACCTGGTAAGGTTGTACGACTACATACTATATTTCATAAAGAAATCCCAGACACTCCTCCAATACGAGACTATTAATTATGGCTAAAACTAGTAATAACCAAAGGTTACGGAGTGCGGCCGACAACGATGGAAGGTCAAAACGCTTTTGCTCCAACGATGTGCTTTGCGTAGTTTCACGTTACGGATGGTCAAAACACGCGTGATCAAATTACGAGTGAGGGAAGGTCCAAACGCGCGTGATCAAATTGCGTTCTATGCATTCCATTCATTCTTAGTGGAAGTCCAAACGACTGTTGGCTACACAGATGCGACGCATGCGTAATAACAACCTGGAGATTAGGATTGCGGGCTCCTCTTGTCGCCTGCAAAAAATAACTGAAAATCACATCTGTGAAGCACTCTCGGTTCCACATATAGAGGTTTAACGTTTCTGTTTCCTTGGTTTAAGTTACCAAACAAAACGTTTTTATTACAACGTACATTGCATAAAGGTAATAGAGAGTATTGAGTGATAAAAGAACCTACATGTAGTCTACACATGTAAGATTTCATTGAGTCATATTTATTACGAATCGTGAAAGGTTTATAGTATAAATTTAAATGGTATTCTTGGTATACAATTAACGCACTTCCGGTTTTACATTAAAAATCAAAAGTTGGTTAAAAATACCAAGGCCCACACAATAAACTGTTCTTTAGAACAGAAGCGTTTTTTACGTTTTAAAACACCAACATACGGAATTAGTTTTGTCCTTCCACAGACTGATACCAGTCACAGACAGCAAAGAGCAAAAAAGGCAGTGTGTTTAGTTCTGGAAAAAAGGCGAATTTTCTTCCGTCCTTTATTTGTATGAATATTGTACAAAGTTGTTTATATAATAAATGGCTTTTGTATGCAGAAAATTAAAATTAGAATAGTTAATTAAGTTCTTCAAATGTTCCATCATTGGACCACATGCACAAAAGAGAAATGTGGAATTCGGCCATTGGGTTTCCAAAGAGTTTCTGTTTGAATGAAAAATAGAACACATGAGGTGGTAACAACACGTTTCAGCCATTATATAATCAGCTATCAGACTGAAGTGGTTAAAAATAAACGATCTTCTAATATTAAGAGAAAGGCTGAATGCCGCAAAACTTGTGCATGTGCGTTCAGTTGCATGGGAGATGTGCAAGTTTCAAATTTAAATTATTGCTTAAACAAAAAAAATGCACGCAACATGCTGTTTTTTTTTGGCACGTGTGTCCACACAAACCATTTGGTTAAGAGATTCGTGTTTTTCATTGGTAGTATAGATACATAACTTAGAGGTAAACTACAGCTTATAACAAAGAAATGATACATAAAGATAGTTTTATAAAGTGTTTTCAGAGACTCTTGTTTCATGTAATTGACAAAAAAATTGAACTCAAGCCAGTGTAATAGCATATATATTATTAAGCAAAGTAATCAACAGGTTAATGTATAGGTCTGTAGCTATTATAATACTATAAACTAAGAATTAAAAGCGAATTAATTCAAGTTTCTAAATGTTGTTATTAATTTGTAAGATCTTTTAATGCCTCCCCTAAAATTCCTCTCCCAAGGAGAGGGAAGCCTGCAAATGCAGGTCACGTATTTTTGGTCGTCGCTTCTCTTCACCCAGCTAAGGGGAGGGGGTTCTTCAACCATTTGTATGTGACTGTTTTTTCTTTTTACTGTACCTACTTCCATGACCCCAGGCTGGGGAGGCTGGGAGAAAGGCTAAATGGTAAATTACTAAGACCTAAGGAATGAGTAAGGCCCAGAATGAACTGCAAATACATGTGAGCATTTGGAAGCAGGGGTAAAAAAGACCCTGGCAACTGTTTTATATAGCTTGCTTATCCATTCCATTCTGTTTGTTGTATAAATAAGAATAAATTATGTATTCAGAGTTATGTGCTGTCACTATGGCAACAGGGTGAAGAGACCCCTTTTCAAACACCTCCCACACAAAATAAGTTAGGAAGAAATTATTCAATTTAATATAAATCTCACACTCAAAATGCATATACATGTATCTTGCCATAACTACAAAATTAAACTCCTGATTGTAAAAATATATCACTTGCTTAAATAACAAATTGACCGAATATCAATTAAGGATATAACGGAAAGTTGCATTTTAATCAATATCCTTACCAGAAGTCTGGCCTGCTCTGGAGTCAATGTATCACCTTCTTTGCAGATTTGAAAATCCATTTGTAGTGTTATGATTCCTGTAAAACAAAAAGTGTTGTTAAATCTGAAATACACATGAGTGTATAAGAGGCATTTTTCCCTAAATTAAAAATTTCACAGTTAGAAAGTACGCGACTAAATGACTGCTTCTAGCTTACAGATAACTGTAATGGTCCACGCTGCCACCTTTAAGGCAATGAAATAAGTATTTTGACAAGAACACTCAAGTTACCTTTCTTCAAAGTTGTATCAAGTCCCAGTTGTCTTAGTTGTGGCTCCATTGAGTGCTGAAACTGATCCAAAGGACCTAGACATTGCAACAAAACAAACAATACACATTCCATTTTCATATTACAGTTGTAGTTCTTGAAGTATAACCCTTGTCAATGGGCCACAGGTCTAAAAGTCTTGTACCACAACTAACTGCAACCACAACTGCCACAGCTACCTACAACCTGATAACACAAGATGCCATCCCCACCATAAACTAATGCTTATGTTGTAGTTAATTTTTTATCTCAGGTAATTTTTATTTTTCCTTTGTTTCAACTTCATTAGCATACATTACTGTACCCCCACCTAAAAATCTAACCAAAATATGACAATTGTTGAATAAGCAAAAAAGAACCACCAAATTTTACAGGCTGTATTTATTTGGATTGAAAAACTTAAATTCATCAAACTCATAAGCACCATCTAACCTTACTACCGACAGGATTATAAACTTTAGAACACAGACCATCTCCTCTACAGAGGCTCTGGTCAGCATTTCTTTTCCATTAATAAATTTTAAATAATTTTTTTTTGAATAATAAGAATGTGCATAGGGATGATGGGAAGAGCAAAAGGCACCTCCCTGTTTGTCATCATTGTCCCCTGCACCCTCCCTTTCATCCCTCTTCTCAGCCTTCTAGTGACACAGAGATCCCCATGGAGGAGAGAGGAATACAATGATGGTTTTTATTGAAATGCTTTTAATGCCCCTCAACCCCTTATACCTTCAGTTACATTGACAGAAATTTTCGATAGCGCCCCATAAAAGCTAACCAAAAATACTCATGTCCCCCCCCCTAAAAAAAAAAACAAATGCTATAGCCCCCCCTCTACTTAGTTACGAGCCCTCCTGTAGATTTCTCTTCCTTCCAAAATTGATTGTTTCTGGGTTTGCCAGGTGTTTTAAAATTAGAGGTATGTGAATTATCTGCAAGATCTTGGTGCCAGATAATTCTACAACATAGATCATGCATATTTTTTAAAATAAGCAAACCACTGCTTGGCTGTTTAACAAATTCACTTTAAAACACCATGCATCTGATAGGTCATATCAAGCTCTCCACAAAATACACTTCTCCCAACTCAGTTTTTCAGCTTCCACGATGAAAAAAAAATCAAAAACCATAGAAAGTACCTGCATCTACTGTTACATCACTTGTAGCTTCATTGCCTGATCTGGCATAATCCAACTCACTGTAATCTTTAAACCACCTAAAACAAAAAATTAGAGGTCTGTTAAGGGTGACCACCAAGCTGATCAGTAATACAAAAGCTCACACAAGCCAACAAGATCCACATTAACCTGGTTTCTCCAGCATGAAACACTGCTACTCCCCCCAAATGGGATAATAATAATAGTAATGATAATAATAATAATAAAAATAAAATAATAAATACTTAATTATCCTCTCCCCTTATGGGGCTTTTCAGGGATAATGAAACATAACAAATTTTAATTAATGCAAATAACAAGGTTTTATCAGTTTTAACTCTTGTTAATTAACCAGCTGTAGTTCAATATTTTCTCACAGATTAAAATGAAATGAAAATAACAAATCACAGGGCCTTACTTGATAACATCTTCCTTAGCTTGATTTGTAAACATCAATCCACATTGTCCTTTAAGTTTCTAAAGAAGCAAAACATGTTGCAATGTACAACACAATTTTTTTTATTTTAATTGAATTTCTTAAATACATGTAGGTGCAACATATGTATCTGCAATTAAACTTGTCAAAAATATTGCAAAACCATTTTCTTCTTCTTCAAAACATGCAAATTTGCCTCCAAAAATGTCTGCCCTATTGGATGGCCGCATTAAAAAGTATGATGTAGAATGATTTGCAAGAAAGAATGTTTTAAAAGATGATGGCATGCAAATGAGAAGGATTGTTGTTGACAACTCCCCAGTCATCTTTAGAATATTCGTTTACTTTGCTGTATCTTTGTCATAGTCAGATACATCACTTAATTCCACATTACACAAAGAAATGACCAGAACCAGGCATGAAAGCAGAACAAAAAAACAACTGACATCATATGATGTCGTAAGCCTTTGTCTCACCCCAGCCCTTGTTGATAGCCCTGGTTATACTCACATTAGCTATCTTGTGTAAGTTTTCTTTGTATTCAGCCTCTCTATCTCTGCCAAGTGCGATAATCATGACTTTATTCTTACCAAAGAAAAACCTACACGAGGAGTGAAAATAAATATTCCTGACAGTATTAACTGAAAACCAACATCATCCCACACAATAATAATTTTAACCATAGGCAGAAATGTATGAATGCAGTCAACTCTCTGTAGGATGTTCATCTTCCTAAAACAGACACCTACAGTTTGGTGCCTTCTGTTCCTCCGTGTTTTCCTTAAACTATCTATAAACCTGACACCTCTTAAAAGTAGCAGTCCCTCTGGTCTTGTCTTAGGGGGAGTCAACCTTGTTCCCAGGGCTTTTTTACTTAATAGGAAAGGAAAGGGGGAAAGGGAAAAAGCTCTGGAAACAAGGTTGAAATTTTTTGGGAGTTTGACTGTTTCGGTCTGAAAGTGGGAAGGCAAAACTGTACATTAATTTCTTCTAATTTAAACCCTTTTAAAGATAGCGTTTTTTTTTTTTTTTTCATCTTTTCCCTTGTAATGAAGTCTCTTACCTGCTGTGTTTCCATTCATTCCTGACTTCTTTTAATTTACTGTTCCTCATGTTCTCCACAGAGAATACATAGATATAGGCATAGTTATCTACACATTCTTGGATCTAGAAACAGATTATTTCTCTTAATTTTTCCAACATAGAAATTCATGTAACCCCTGAAGGAAAGAACTACTATGTACAGGGTTTATTCTAGAGTACAGCCTTGTGGGATTTCCGCAATTTGGAAAAAAATGCTGCATAAAATTTACGTTGCCGTGTCAAATGGGGCGCAAAAAAATAGACCCATGTATAAGTACTATTTTTTGAATTAAAGTATTTGAAAACATCACTGACAACAACACTGATTTGATTACTGTCTCAATTGCCTTTCTCTTCTTCGTTTGACTCATTATTTCACCAGACAAACATCCCAGATTCTGCAGTAATTCCAGCCCTGGCTTTTTCATTAGCCCAGAATGTTTCAAAATGGCAGCAAAGTGTCAATAAACGCTCATTTCCTCATGGAACAGTCTGTACCAACGAGTTCAAATACCTTTTGGGGGACCCCCTTTCTTAAAAAAGGACCCCCTAAAATTACAGAAGGGAGCCCATTTGACCCTTATTGGCCAATTTCTAGAATAAACCCTGGTGTATCTCGTTCCTCTGCACAGGCCTCATTGTGTTGTAGGGAGGCTGAGGATAGGGATAAAACAAAGTTTGAAGGGGACGATGACACCTCTTCCCTCTTCCCATCATCCCTTTTTCAACTAATAATAACCAAAGGTTACGGAGTGCAGGCAACAACGATCTAAGGTCAAACGCTTTTGTTCTTTGTGTGCACTTTGTGTACAGGTTTCTCATTAAACATACAGGTTTCTCATGACAGACGGTCAAAACACACATGATCAGATTATGAGGGGTAGAAGGTCCAAATGCACGTGATCAAACTGCCTTCAGTACATTCCATTCATTCTTAGTGGAAGTCCAAACCAATGCTGGCGCATGCGTAGTAACGACCTGTAGATTAGGATTGCGGGTTCCTCTTGTTGACCGCAATTATTGCTATTTTTATTGGGATAACCAGGATGTGGATCATTCAAACAGATGATGTTTATTACCTCCTTTACTAGTCCTGTTTTCAGCTCTAATCCTTTTTTCTTGGTCTTTGTGAGAGACACTGCAAAAGAAAAAATATACACTTTAGACTTGCATCTTGTCTTATCTTATTTATATCTTGGCTGACAGTCTTGATGTATTCACAAAGTTTGTCTGGGTAAAGTGCTAGATATTGGGTATAAACTGTTCCCAAGGACCAAGCATCATAATTACTTCCTAGGAACATCATCTCAGGACACTGTTCTTATTGGGATTAGTGCATGGTCATAACCAAAAAGAATCTGAGAGAAAGAAAAACGGGTACGTAATCACCTAATAGCAAATAGAGACAAGGAAAATTGCCGTTATATAGAAAGATTACAGCCCCAAAGTCTTGTGCTTCTGAATCACAAGTAAGCTCACATGTAGCCTGAAGTAGTCATCAAGTAGATCGTGAATAAGCGACAACTATTCAGTAAGCAAAAGGATTACAAAGGTCTAACATGAGAATTTTAACTGTAAATAAGTTTCAGATAAACTTACCTGCTCTATTTCGTTTTGATTTCGGCATTTTGACGGGAAAAAACCTTCTAAATTCTGCACAAACGCTTCTAGGAAAACTTGGCCCACTAACTCCACGTGAATTTACTTCACCTTTGATGGGGATAGCCGCTGTACACGATAAACAAACTCACTTTGTTGGTCAATATTCACAGACCCTATTGATAAATTCGTAGGCCTCCCCCTATAGGCAATTGCACCACCACGTTCTTCCCTTTCACTCGCCGCCATTATGAGGTAGGAATAGTTGTGGACTTCTGGGATAAACTTAGGCATTATAACGCTATATATTAACCATACTTGCGTTAAAAACCATTCAAAACAAAGCTTAAACATTAGTTTTTGCCGTGATATGGTTTATATAAAATATAATCTTTGTAAAACAGGAAAAAATGATTAAAATCGTTGCACGTGTTGTTATAGATTTAGCATAGGTAGGTGAAGTTCCTACTGCTGTGAGAAACTGGGAGGAATTATCAGAATATTCATATTTTTTTAGTATGAGCTAAATAGGTGATATGCTTCAGCAGGAGAGTGCTTAAAATTTTGGGAATCAGAAAACCTGTGAAGAATAATTTTGTAATTTTTTTGTTGACATCAGTTGGAGATAATTTAAGTAATCAGTACAGTTTTAAGAATTTAAAAGTTTTCGTTTTAAAACACATACATTTTGATACGGTTAGGCCTTCTGTCCACACTAATAAACGGAGTGTTTTGAAAGCAGATCAAAATGAAAACGCATATATATTGTATCAGTACTAGTGTGGACAGTCGAAAACGCATCAAAATGAAAGCAATGACTGGAAATATCGCAGGCACATGTGTTTGTAGCATATGTGTAGAGTTAAACTTATGTCACCACATGTAAATTCTATTGCTTAAGCACGTTTTAGTGTGGACAGTCAAAAATGCATTAAGGCAGCAATGTGGACAAATCTATAGATGCATTTTCAATGACAACGAAAACATATGCGTTTGAAGACACATTAGTGTGGACAGGGTATAGGAATAAGGGATACTGTGAATCAGTCCAGAGTTCAAAAACATTTGAAGTGTTGTATCAGAAAGTGCATGAGATTATAGTGACTAGTCGCCACCCAGAGCTCGACAGAGCCCTTGTCATGTACATTTGTACCTTGTGATGGGAAGGCCAGATCATGATCTTGGAAGCTACGTTATCTCTAGGGCTGCAATAATTTGCTGATTCATCGGTGAACCCTGATGCTTATAGTATATTGTAATTTCAAGAGTAGCTTTTGTTTTCACACTCTAAAACATTGGCTTTGCTTGTAAATTGCATTAAAAAGGAACCATTAATTTGTCTCTAGGACCAGGTTGTTCAGTGCTGGGTTAAGATAACCCAGGGTTAGTGTGAAATTTGAATTCAGATATGAAACTAGCTTAAAAAGCAAATTTTGTCTACAATAATATTTGATAAATGGCTACTCGAAAAAGATTAGAGAAAATTATCCAACAAAATGCTTTTGATCAAAAGAAAAAGAAACCCAGCTTAAAATTTAACTCTTGGTTAGGGCTAACCAGCCTTCAAACAACTGGGCCCGGACCTAGTCCTATTGTTGTCCAGTGTAGAGAGAGTAAGGTTTCAGTTAGTGACAACTGTTATCAGGCAATTTTTTGGTGATACCAAGGTGGTATAGCTAAATGTGAAATTAATGAAGAACAAGACGCCTAAAGTCGTTTCCGTGGGATGCGTTGGTCTATGGAAGCATAATGGCGTTTTATCTAGGTTAATGGAACAAAACAAAACAAAACATCCGCTTGCTTTATCCAGGGTCGAACCCAGGGTTACAAAGTTTGATAAAGTTCCAATGTTTTAATACAAGATGAAAGTTTAATATTCCAAGATGCTCTTGATACGGTTAAAAATTAATTGCCATGTGTTTCCAAGGTCTCAAAGTTAACATAGTTCCAATGATTATCCCTGATTCCAAGGTATAATAAGTTTACTCATGTCCTGATCCGTGTCCCATCCAGAAGTCCAATCCATGCCGAAACTGAGTCATCGATCGACGAGGACAATATTTTCGCGATTTCAACGCCAATCGTCAAGGGTGCGAGGTGAAATTTACGCGATTTAACCTCCCATCGTCAAGGTGTTTTCGATAAGAAAAGAAAAAAAACTGAACTCTAGCTGTGCTCGGCAAAAACTGGCGAACTGCCAGGAACTCCGAATAGAAAAATCTATCGGAAATCACGGCCCGCAACCAGACGCTACTAAAACCTTCTGAAAAAGCTAGACCTAAACAAAAAAGAATCATGAAGGAAAGAAATAATTTGGCTTAGGTCGCCTTTCGTGACTTGCCAGTATCCCGAAGGATTTTGCTGGTTAACAAGCCATCCTAAACCACGAGTGGGAAAACTCAAGCGCGACAAATTTGGCAAGGAACGTTCTGATTTCATTTTTCTTCAGCGGAAGCAAATCGATACAAATTTTGTACAATCTGATTGGTCGGCTTGGAAGAAAAGATAATCGATAAAGATTTTACGCAATCCTATTGGCTGGCTTTGCAATTTTGGGTACAACCAAACCGGATTTTTACCGTGGTAGTGCCACAGGCATCCCACGGAAATAGCTCCCAAGAAATTAATTTTTATGATAGATATATATATATATATATATTGTTTTGTTCTAAGTCCAGCTGCTACAGTTTCAAAGTGCAGTGCTTTGTTTCTCATTCATTATAGGGACACTTTCTTGACATTATAAACTTGTGTGACAGGTTTCATGTTGTTTCATTTTCATTTACTACATCATAGTGAATGCTTTGTTTTATAGTACTTTGCGACTTCAGAAGCGGCTGGCAGCCAGTGTCCTTAAATGCGGAAAAAAGAAGATTTGGTTGGATCCTAATGAAACTAATGAAATTGCTAATGCCAACTCGCGTGAGTGTTTATTTCTGTTTTTGAGCCTTGTTTAACCCTTCTCAAGAAAGCCCTTATGAAAAGAAAATCCAGTGTTTGTCAAGTGGTGATCAATGTCAAGTAGTCGTGATAAAGAAAACCTGAATTTGTTTCCAACATTCAGGCTGGATTTGTTCCTAAGATGATGAGTGCAAAAACATCCAAAAGCTAGTTACCATGACAACTCATGTGCTCTGTTTGTTGTTAACTCAGGAGTACTGCTAGCGGTGCTTTTAACAACTTGGCCTTGTTGAATATTAAGCTGTTTTGAAATTGGACAGTCCTTTTATCATTAACATTTCAATTTTTTTTTTTTTTTTTTTTTAAACCTATTTTGTAATGCATACCCAACTGTCACTTTGACGTCAGTAGCAGTATTTTTCTTTTACCATGGAAACCTTGTCAGAGCAACAGCATAGTTTGGTTGCATGAATTTAAAGCAAGTTTGATAAGGGATGAAGATATCTAATGAGATATAGGATTAAATGATTCATTTCTTTTGCATTTTTAGGCCAAAATATTCGTAAACTTGTCAAAGATGGTCTGATCATCAAGAAACCAACAATTATCCATAGCCGTGCTCGTGTGCGCAAGGCTGATGAAGCCAGAAAGAAGGGTCGACACAGCGGACATGGTAAAAGAAAAGGTACTGCCAATGCACGTATGCCTGAAAAGGTCATCTGGATGAGGCGTATGCGAGTGCTGAGAAGGCTGCTGCGAAAATATAGAGAAGCTAAAAAGATTGATAACCACATGTACCACACCCTTTACATGAAGGCCAAGGGAAATGTGTTCAAGAACAAGAGAGTATTAATGGAGTACATCCACAGGAAGAAGGCTGAAAAGCAGCGTGCCAAACTTCTCAGGTAGGAACTTCTTTTACATGTAGTGTTTGTAATAATATATTATACTGTAGTACTTTTCTGTAGTATTGTATTTTACTGTGGTGGATTGTTCTTATCTCATCAACTAAGCATTGCAACACGCTTTTCGTATTTGCAGGGTTTATATGCGTCTTGAAAACCCTTGAATTTTAGAGCCCTTTTTCAAGGCCTTGAAAGTCCTTGAAATTCTCCTTCATTCATTTTAATCCTTGAAAGTCCCTGAATTTGTCAAAGAACATTTTCAAACCCTCACAAAACTTTGGAAAATACCAATTTGAAGCTAACAGAGTAAAATAGGCATTGAGAAAATGAAAGTCAGGTATGGACTTACAAATGAGTTTTCATTAGAAATGGTTGCCCCTAAGAACAAAAGCCTATCATTATCGGATTTTATTCATAGTTTATTTGGAACGTGTGGAAAGTCTTTAAAAGTCATTGAAAAATCTTGAATTTTATATGGGAAGGAGTGTACCCTGTAATTTAGTACTCGGAGACTTTGTTTATTATTATTTCCTACCTTTAAGAACAGATGCCAGGGCTCGAAATTGCAACTCACTGGTCGCCAATGCGACTAAAATTTGGGTTCTGGCGACTACATTTTAAGACCTGGTCGCCAGTTGGCGAGTCATCTTCTGTTTCAGTAAGATAACCCCTTGTCCCACATTTCTAATTAGTATGTGTAATCAAATGGTGACGAGTGAAATTAGGGAGTTCGAGTTATCAAGGGTTTGAGTTACCGACAGTAAAATACAGTGAATGTATGACGGAAATCCAAAGGAAATCGATTTTGGTTCGAGTTAGCGCGAGGTTCGAGTCAGCAAGGGTTCGAGTTATCGGGAGTTGACTGTACGAAATATGGGCTCAGAGCAAAGGGGGCAAAGGGACTGCACTGTGCAAGCTCAAAAAATTGGAAGTGTCCCAAGTTTTTTAGACTGGGATTGTAGAGGCACATTCATTTACTGCTCATGTTATCTGTTAACAATCACGTTTCCTTGGATTTGTGTCTGCAAGACATCATTGATCTTTTTGGCCTAGTCTTTTAGTTGCGTAATGTCTAACTATTGCACACTATTAAGCCGGCCTTGCCTTCTTCTTATGAAGGATGGGTGACTAAGTGTGCAAACAACAACTAAGGAGTTTTTCTGACTGATCTGAGATTGCATTATCTGTGATTGACTTCAGTCCTGGGCTCCTCTCACATACTTCTGCCACGTACTTTCTATAACAAACTATTTGTTAGCAAAGCACAGTCAGGCAAGCTATAGATTAGCCTGTGTCACAGACTGAAATAAACAGTTACTTCTGGTTAAGTCCATTTGCAAAACGGCGCTGATCCTTGTGCTGGGCTTTCACTTGTGTAGCAGGATTTGAGCACGCACCATGATTGGCCTGTTAAACAAGCCATTGTTAATTTGCCAATCACGTTAAAAGGAAATTCAAAACGCGTCTGGTAATTTGTTGAGTCCGCTGGGGGAGGAGAACAAAGATATCGGTGCTGCTTCGCAGACATTAGTAACCAGGTTTAGATTACATCTGCAGTGAAGGCTATTTATGGATTAGATAACCTTTTTAATACTAAGGATTTAATGGAATAACATTTAAAACTGTAAATTTATTTTATCAGAAGTTATAACGCCTCCAAATTAACCAGTTCTGACAAACTTTTGTTTGGTTACAGTGATCAAGCTGAGGCTCGCAGACAGAAGAACAGGGCAGCCAAACAGAGGCGTGAAGAACGCCAGGAGCAGAAAAGAAAAGAGATGATCCAACAATTTGCCAAGGAGGAAGAGGCAGCTAAATAAATAAACCTTCTTCAAAATGCTTGAATAAAACTTATTTTGTGAGGGCAAGTTGTAGTTCTACATGACTGTATTTATCAAGTGATTTGCTACAAAAACCCTGTCTTGCAGATGTTGGCCAATCATTTTCCCATAGATGCCATAGACTGCATGCAGTCTCTTATTTTTCTTTTGAGACACAGTAGAATGAGAGCATTTGTTTGGGGGGAGTGGCTTTGCTGCAAGGAATGAAGGCAGAAGCTCAAGTAAAGAAAAAAATTTGTATACCTATTTTGACTTTTTCGCTCACCGCACCTGGCTCTGAGAAAAGAAAGACAACCGCTCGCAGTCTATAGATGCCATGTCGGTCTTGCAGGGTGTAGGTCAAACCTTGCTACCTTGAAGACTTGCCCTTATTTTCTGTGTTAGCTCAATTTAAGTACATGAATGAGTCCCGAATATTTAAGTAGCTTGGGTGTCAAGCATTGTTTTATGGTCCCCATTGTTGCATTCCATGCCATTCTAGTGCATGCCACACAGACTATGAATTAACCTGCAGTAGAGAACAATATAAAACCCTCAAAGTATAGTTTATCATGGTCTGCATGTATGTGTTGTTAAAAATTTACTTTTTTGTTTAACCTTTCAAACCAGTTTATTGAATTGTATGTAATTTCCCCTGCTTTGAATAACTAGTTAAAACTGAGATGAAGGAAAAAAAAGTTGGTTTGGAAACTTTAAAAACCAAAAAATACACCTCAAACAGAACACATGCTTCTAAATCTTTGCTTACAGGGAGATAACCTCCAGCGCATGCTTTTCTAGGGGAGTTGTATTTCCTCCCTCGGAGTTAAATTTGACTGCCCTCATAAATGCCTTGGTGGGAGGCTACTGGGGAGAAGGTCTTTCGCTCTGGTCTTAGAGCAAGCAGTACCATGTTTCATAGGTGATATTAAGTGTGAGCATGATCTTCCATAACTTTACTGATAAACAGCAAGTGATATGTTTCAACACAGTATTTTTTATTTATTCATGAGGGTACATTGTACATTGTGTTTATAAATGGGGCAATTTCCAATTTCTATGTTATTTTACTAAAACTATAAATAAAATATAATACAAAGAAGGAAGCTAAAAGTAACCTTAAAATCTTTCAACTCATAGCACTTCAACCTACAAATATTTTTAACAGCCATTAACACATGGGGCATATTTAATGTTAAAGTTGTGATTTGTCAATACATCTCCCCTCACTGTCTGTTTTTTCCATTCATCTGACCCATCACAACAGTCGCATATCCCATCATTGATACGTGAAGAGGGCAAATACTGCTGTTGACTGGAACAGAAAAATCTGTTGAAAAAGAAAACTAAAGTAAACAAGAGTAATATAATTAACAAATAAATAACCATTTAGAGGTAGCACAACCACAGACTTGTACCCAGTCGCTATTTAATATGTGTTTCTGGGGTGCAAGAAGATTAGGATTAGGTTGAGGCATGTGGGGGTCTATTTTCTTCTTGCCACTTCCCGTGAATACTTGCACACCCCACTCAAATCATCCAATCTTCTCTCTTCTCATCTCACCAAATGGGTATGAGTCTGGCACATCCACCTAGTGTGGTTCTTTGTCTACCATTCCTGGTTGAATTGGAATTTGGAAATGCTGGTTTATGAGGAGAGGGGAAAACTGGAGAACTTCTGAGCAAAGGAGAGAACCAACACCAAACTCACAGGAAAAAATAACAGATTCCCATTTTTGGATATTTTAGGGTATTTAAAGAATACCCACAAAAATCCCAAATTTGGAAGAGTGAGACAAGTCCCAATCAGGGAATTTAGTTGGGAATTCCCTCGTTGGGACTTGTCTCACTTTGCCAAATTTGGGATTTTTATGGGTATTCTTTAAGTACCCTAAAATATCCAAAAAGGGGAATCCGTTATTTTTTCCTGTGACTCATCCCACATATGGCGCTGATGCCGGGATTTGAACCAATGTCACACAGGTGGGAGGCCAGTGTTCTCACCACTGCACCATCCCTTGCTCCCCAGGGTAAAATAATTGTGATCAGTAATTAATTTTGCTGTTCACCCTTAATTAAGGCCAATAGAGTCAAGACAAAATATTTCAATCAGTTAAAGTTACTATCTGACATAAATAGCACCACATCACTGTTAATAATAAGAAAAGGCTATTTTAACAAACTGAGTTTTATTAACAGTTGTTGTATTGTTTAAGAAGGAGTACCGGTAGGTAGAGAGTTGTAAGATTTTCTGAAACAGAGCACAGTTCTCGTCAACACCCCATCTCTTGAGGGGGTGGGGTGACATGGCTGGGATAAGTGACCACAGGAACTCTAGTAAAGACCCACCTCATGTTTGGACAAGCCCCTGTTCCAGGTTCATCACTACCATCAATGCAGTCACAGTAATCATCATTAACTGCACTCCAGCTTATACTGAGCTCTCCATCTAAACAAGTGAACAAACCCATTGGATTGGGTTGATATTTTTGGAGGTCAGAGGGTGCAACCCCTAAAACAACTGTAAATATAAATACATAAGAATATTATCAAAAATCAAAGATAAATCAAGGCTAATAGAACTGTAACAGAATCCCTTGTAGTTTAATGCATGGACAATTTGGATCAGGAGTTTACTTTTGAATGGAGTGGCCTAACACAAGGTATTCATCTTGAATATCAAGGAAGAAAGGATAGTTAAGAAAGTCCAAAAACATCAACAGCATCAAATCTCTTGTTAACACTACAAACTGAAAACTTGTGGCAGCTATTTTTTAAGGCCCTCTTAGGGGGGTTATGTATGTCCCTAGTCTTATTTTCTTATTTTCAAAACCTGTCGTTTCGCATATTGAGGAGAAAGCCATTTTACTATATATTGTCTTTGCACTTTTCTCTGATGTTGTTGCATTATTGCAACCTATCTTTGTATCATTTGTCACCATTTCTGCTGTCTTATGTTGCTGTTTCAAGGTCATGTCACTTGTTGGCATTTTACCCTTCACTTGTACAGACAAGGTAATTGTTTATTTCTACTGGCAAATAGCTGATGAGGGGTAAAGCTTTGAGTCAACTGTCAAAGCCATGCAATCACATGCAAGACCACGTAACCATCAATTTAGTACAACATCTACCAGTATTCTTACAAAATTAATATTAAAAGCACTTTATGGTGACTACTTTTCCAGGGAAGCAAGGAGGCACTTCTGATATAATGGATAGCTATGTAGGTATCTGCCCTTGTGAAACAGTTTAGTATGGGATACTAGGTAGAAAAAAAAGGATTTTGGTCTAAATTAGGGTATGATTATTTCATGGGAAATTGATCAGTGCTATGAAGGATTGGAGTTTCTGGCTCAATGTTTTTTGGGTAAAGGGTAGGGAATTTTTTTGTCACCTGGTATAGAACAGGGTAGGCTGAAGGTTCCCTGCCAGGGTCCCACCAGTAAACCCCCCCCCCCCCACCCCCCCCCCCCCCCCCACCCCCCGCCCATGTATTTCCGTCCCCCAGCTCGGGGGAAAAAAGATAGAAATAGCATATGTATGAACTCACGTCACGTCACGATTATTTATGCAAAAATGGTTTTGGTTGAAATTAGGGTTTGTTTTTTTACTGGGAAATTGATCAGTGCTATGAAGGATTTGAGTTTCTGGCTCAATTTTTTTTGGGGAAAGGGGAGGGAATTTTTTTGTCCCCTGGTAAAGAACAGGGTAGGCTGAAGGTTCCCTGCCAGGGTCCCCCCAGTAAACCCCCCCCCCCCAACCCCACCCCTCACCACCACCACCTCACCTAGTATTCCAGTGCCCATAGATAGTGAGTAAAGAATAATATATTAATTATAACCATAGGCGGCCCAGACGTAGTATGTGTCACTGAATGAATATATTAATATCTACATTGACAAATTAATGCGATGAGTCGTCGAAACTCCCATGGACTAAAATAGTCTAAAAGTCAAAATATAACAAACAAAGCTAAGATACCTTCAACTGAACGTATCCTTGTCTTTCCTGGCCGGTTTAAGTGGCATTTAGTTGAGAGACAAGGATACGTTCAGTTGAAGGTATCTTAGCTTTGTTTTGTTATATTTTGACTTTTAGACTATTTTAGTCCAAGGGAGTTTCGACGACTCATCGCATTAATTTGTCCATGTGGATATTAATATATTCATTCAGTGACACATACTACGTCTGGGCCGCCTGTGTTTAAAGCTAAGCTTTGTAGCCTAAGTCATACCTTTATTTATGCAGTGACCAAATGTTTGCACGCCATCTTCCAATACGCATTTGTTGCCATTTGCTTTCTCGTCCGTTTCACTTCCACTTTTTTGAAGTTCTTTCTCGTTAACGGAAAGGACAGTTTTTTCATGACTTTCATCCAGTATCTTGATTGTTTTCCAGTGGGAAAAAAAGAAAAGAATTAGCACAATGCCAAAACTGATTAGAAGATAACATCTCCTTGACCTGCCGAATCTCATGGAAGGAAGTTACTTTAATTAAAACTAGACATTCGTGACATTAAATGTCTTGGCATATATTTAAAACACGTTCAAACGCGAAGGGGCGAATGTAAGATAATTGGAAGTCTCGTGGTCGAAAACAAAACATTCGAGACGACAGCGAGGAGTCTGGAAACCAATCTCTTCCTTCCTGGTGACGTTGTGTGACGTAAGATATGACAGCTTTTAGACCTACCACGTGACCCAAAGCAAAACAATTATCGCTGTGTTTGGAAATGAGATCGGGAAGACGGTTTTTTTACTCGATATATATTCGTTGTTGCGTTTTTATTGTTTTCCCTGTTGCGTTTCGTCGAGTTAACTAGCTACTAAAGGACGTTTTGTCTTTACTGTTCAGCTGTTTACGTCCTTTGACGCATTTTTGCTCGACTGGAAACTACTAGACTGTTCTCAGTGTCTATCTTGATCTGTGGAGTGTGAACGAAATTTCAAATACACTTCGTTTGCTTTTTAAAGGCAAATGAAATTTATGTAACGGCCCTAGTTTCGTTCTATGATCACATAACCCAACTACACAGGAAGACGGCCTCTACATTACACATTAGAAAAACGGAGTGATGCGAAAATAAACTTTCAATTCAATTTCCAAAAATATCGTGTCGTGTAATTTTTCCATTTTAAGGCGTTGCAAAAGTGGAATGTTTGGAACAATTTTCTAAACTGGGAAGCGTCAGATCATATATCGACTACAACGACATAAAAAGGTAAGACTTCATGCTCTTTGCGAATGATTTTTTTGTTCTATAACCTTTTTGTTTGTTCGTTAATCACTAAACAGGTGACCGGTTGTAAAATAAATGCGTTCTGTCGAATGGAAGACATTTGTAGATTTATTATGATTATACGGGTCGTCTACAACGGAAGTTTTATAGAAAATTTGACAACCAAGAGGAGTTCTTGAACCTTATTGTCTTCTTTTTTCGACAGTATTTTGTGAAAAAAAAATTTGAATTGGACTGCCTCTGTGCCTAGATTTCCACTGAACACCAAGAGAGAGAATCGAAAGTTTGGCAGCCGAAGTAGGTTTAGCTTGGGCTTAGATTTGACACAAAGCTTTAAATTTCTTATTCCTTCAGCAGTGCTTGGCAGTATGTGTTTAGTGAGTTTAAAATTTATCTAGCTAATTGATATTATCACCGCATTACTTTTGCTATATTGGCAGTACATTTTCTTGTTCTTTCAAGTTTTTACGTTAATTCCCCAGAGAATCTTCATTCGAGCAGACGTGATTTCTAATGACTTGTCTGCGTTATGTTTTTGGCAGGACTTTAATCCGAGATGGCGAAAGGCAGAGTAACAGAAGTGGACAAGGCAAGAGGGACAATTTCAGAAGAATCTCCGTCGAAACAGAATCCCAGTGAGGATCGACGTTTCTCTCTTAGAAGGATTTTTGGGCGTTCGAAAAGCTACAAAGGCGAAAACTCGACAGACAAGTTTACAAGAAAAAGCAGTACTGATTCATTAGCTGTTTGCCCTGTTTGCTACGCTATGAGATCGAAATCTCTTTTTCCAGAAATTTCAACATGTGAACACAGGTCTTGCTTCGAGTGTCTAAGACAGTACATGACAATTGAAATCAATGAGTCAAGAGTTAATTTAACTTGTCCGGAATGCTCAGAACGATTTCATCCAAACGACATAAAGCTAATTTTGAACAACGATGCCTTAATGGCCAAATATGATGAATTTACTTTACGGAGAACATTAGTTGCAGACCCTGATTGCCGATGGTGTCCTGCCCCAGATTGCGGCTATGCTGTCATTGCATCTGGGTGTGCAAGCTGTCCAAAATTGCAATGTGAACGACCCGGTTGCAACACAGAGTTTTGCTACCACTGTAAGCAAATCTGGCATCCTAATTTGACTTGTGACTCGGCAAGAATGCGACGTGCCACTCACATTAAGTCAATGTCGGGATCTGAGGGCCGCAATTCAAATGGCTCAGATGACATGAAGCCATGTCCTAGATGTGGCGCTTTTATTATCAAAATGGATGATGGCTCATGTAATCACATGACTTGTGCAGTTTGTGGTGCAGAGTTTTGTTGGTTATGCATGAAGGAAATTTCAGATTTGCATTACTTAAGGTGAGGCAATATACTTAGCTGCATGTAAAGGAAAATTTGGAGGCATTTAAATAAGATGCCTTTTTCTCTAAAAAAAATATTGCATGTATGGTGCCTGCTACTTTGGTTATCCTATCTCCTACTACAGAACACTCTGACTGCACCAAATACATTAAACTATGATACAGACACCTGTTTAGTGCAGACACTTGGGTGTCTGGCATTGTTATCTGTTTTAAGGAGGGGGACGTTGGGGGCTATTCAATACCTCAATACCATGAGAAAAATTGGCAAATACCATGTCAAAAATTGATGAAATACTGATACCGCATTTATGACCATCTCACCTGTTTGTTTATCTCAAGCATGAATGCACCAGCAATCAACCTCAGCCATTGCGTGAAAACGCCAGAAGACCTCAAACTGATCAGTACAATGATAAAAAAGCCCAGGCATTTGATGCCCTACCAGTTTCATCGTAGATTATCGGTCAGAAATTGTGTAATCATTTACCGTTTTATAGTTTTAAGTCTTAAAAATATTGACCTGCATTAGACAGGAGAGAGCAAGTGAACAGTACCGCAATGATTCCATGAAGGGCCTTCTTTTACCGAATACCAATACAGCACATCAAAATGAGAGTTACCGATCAGAAATACTGCTTGGAAAAAAGCTCAATACTGTTTAACCCCTTCAAGGGAGTGTGACTGTACAGTGGAACATTTATAGGCGCGGGAGCCGGGGATTTTAACCAGCTGTAAGGAGCATGACCGTTGGCTACTTTATAGAAAACAGAAAGAAAATGCATGTTAGGATGTAGAACCAAAAGAACTCCCAAGCTGTTCAATTCCCCTGTCCTATAAATTCAGTTCCACCATCACTTGAACCTTGGGGGAAAAAAACACCTAAACACTCTTCTTTTCCTAAAATATGTCTTCAAACTGTGCTCTAAGATACAGAAGTCATTCTTTTATACTTTATAGCCCATCTGGTTGCACTTTTTGGGGTAAAAAGCCTTGGAGTCGTAAGAAGAAGATCCTATGGCAAATGGGAACTCTCATTGGTGCACCCCTTGGTATTGCCTTGGCTGCAGGAGTGGTACTACCTGCCATGGTGATTGGTATCCCTGTGTATGTTGGAAGACAGGTAGGGATTAAGAGCACAGAGTCACAGTTGGCTGACTGAAACAACAGCATCCCGAAAGACTGACAAAAATTGCTTGCACCAAATCTTTTTAGCCATGGGTTTGGTGTTTGCAAGTGGATATTAGGGACTTAAAACAAATCGCTATGGCGACCTATAATGGTGGTCGTGGATGCAGAGTCCTGGGGAGAGTACATTACTTTAAGCAAGCGGCACCCAAACAGTGACCATGGGGTTTCTCTCTCATTTGCTTTCGCTGTTAGTAAAATGCAGGGAAGATGTAATCACTGGAAAACCAGAAGCATCAAAAACTTTCTTGATAAAGTGAAAAACAACCCATGATAGGTTTTAAAACCAGTGATTGTAAAAAATAGGAGAAAAATTGAATTTTATACTCACGTGGGAGCAACTACGCCACAAGGCAGGTCTTCATTTTGTAGGATTTGGCATTACACCAAAAGATCATGTCCAAGCATGCACATTGAGTCATTTTTTGGCTTTTCTACTTCTGGCCTTCATAGTAGAGGTCACTATGGTTATTTGCTTAAAGTCCTTATTTTGTCAGTCACAGATAATGATCAGCAATATTGCGGGATGCAGCTAAGGAAAAGTTAAGCAGGCTTTTTCATTAGTCCAGCCGGCATTTTTATTCAACTCCACCTTCAGAAATTGCATTTCTTTGTTTCCCAGACCAGTATGAGATGATGGTAAATTCTTTTTCAGCTGGTGAAATTAGCCAGCAGCCAGCCCTTAGCCACATCTGTGAATTACTGTTGGTCCTAACACAGCAGATGGGCCAGGGGGTGGAGTAGAGAGTACTGCCAGGTGTTATTTATGGGAAATTGTTTAGTAGTAATGAAGATTTAAGTTTCTGGTTTATAGTCTGGCTTGATGCCTAGTCAAGAAAGTTAGCAAAGTCAACTGCAGTGTTGCTAAAGATTAACGGTCCCAGCAGCACACATAGACCCCAGGGTCCTAAAACTGTGAATAGCAATCAACATTTTTTGCTCCTAACAATATCCATACACTTTCAAGAGATACTGTAATGAGAATCAATGGAATGATCACTAAAGGTAAAATTTCTTGATCTTTTGTCAAGTTCTCTCAACTTATACTTTAAGGAAATGAATAGAGACCAGTTTGGAGAATTTGTATGTGGATACTGGGGTTTAAAGGGTTAAACTTTTTCAACAAACTATGTCTGTCCTCTTTTAGAATTCAGCCAGGGCAAAACCCATTCTTGTATTTGCCATTTGTTTGACCGCGTGAATTAAGAAAAAAACAAACAGTCTTCTCTTTGTTTATTACGCTTTTTTAGCCTTACTTAGTCTTAACAGCCAAGTATTGCAATTCACAGGAGGTGACAAGTTTTTGCTTTCATTGTTTTGACCATTCACCTGATGTTTGACAATTGTTTTCCCAGTTGAAAGTGACTTTTCCATGTAGGTACCAAGTGGTGACAAAACAAAGATTTTGGTTGCCTGGTGGCAAATTCTAGGTCCCAAAAAATGTCTGCAGAATTAATTATTGTGACTTACAGTATTGAAAAACATTAAAAGATGTTTTTGATACAGTAATCAAATTTCTTTACACAAAAAGTCGTCTTAAAATGTAAACATGATAATGAAAGATCTAAAAAGGTAACAACTCATGATCATGCAATCAAGGATAGAAGCATGACATGTAATTCCAGAGGGTTGAAATCATTTTGATTGACAAGGAATTTCACTTGTAATTAGGTAAATCGCTGTGAGTTTTAGCAGGTCTCTCCCTCAAAATACAAGCATGACACATAGCTAGTACTTAGTTATTAGCTGCTGGCTTGTGGCCATTAAATGCTCATAGTATTAATAATTCCTTAAGCAGGGGTTGTAACATTAACAAGTCAAAAAGCTAGTTGCATGCTGTCAACCTGTTTTGAAAGTCTGGTCATCAGCGCTCAAGTTCTACTTGCTGTGGCATCCAGGAGGGCTCATTAACATTATTATGGAGCCAGAGTTTGGCCCTGTTCGCACTCTTCAAAGTTTTGTTTGTTTTGCAAAAAATCTGCTAACAGTGAGCAGATAAATTCTAGTGCAAAATGGTTTTTTTCACCTATCAAAGATGCTGTCTAGAAAGTTTGGAGGGGTACAATGTTTTGTCAGGCAATGAAATCCTTTGCTCCTTGACAGCTATCCTTTGTCTGTTATCTTATTTTTCAAACTTGACTAATAATAGTTCCTTTAATTGACGTTGTTGGTTACATTAAAACTTTTGCGTACCTCAGATGCAAACAAGGTTACAAAAACAAAAATTTGGTAACTACACAAGTTTCAATTTTTTTGCAAATTCCAAACTCCATTTTCTGTTGTAGTGCGAACAGGACCTATGCAGACTGTATTTTATGCTAATACATGTCATGGCGCTCAGAAAGTCCCGTCCAATATTCTGGGACAAGGAGATTCTGTGCTGGGCAAGTAGATGTGCCTTAAAAAATGTGTAAAATGTGAGAGCTGTGTGCCCAAAGGACATGCTGGAAGTCAAGTTTTTTTTTAGCCCTGTCTATGTTACATGCATTTAACCGTTTGCTGCTCATTAAAAATTTAAAATAGAATTTAAAACCATTGTAATTATTTTCCTGTAGGGAAGCAAAAGGGGTATGCTTTTCTGAATACCAGTAACCCAACTTTTTTTTCATTCAGATCCATGACAAGTATGACAAACCTTATCAGTCAAGGCGGAAACGTCACTTGGCCATCACAGGGGCAGTGACAGTGTCAATCATAGCAGCACCTATCCTTGCCGCACTGACAGTTGGGGTTGGGGTGCCAATTGCTCTAGGTTACATCTATGGAGTGGTTCCAATATCTCTGTGCCGCAGTGGTGGTTGCGCCACAGTAACCAATATCAGAAATGGTAAAGGAGTGAATCTTGACTTTGACGAAGATGGTGAGCCTTCCACAGGGATGCCAGGGGTTGTAGGAGCATTTGGTACCTCTCGTTCCAGCAGCAGAAGCAGCATGCGTGGAGGGGATAAGGGTTCTACCACTGGAGTTGTGACTGTTGTGGCTACCGTTAACAACAGGGTAGCAGGTATGTGAATTATTAAGCTCATCCATTCTCTTTCCACTTTTTCTGTACTGCAGGAAAGAGGGCTGATGAATCCACTTTAAGGCAGGGTTCATACAGAACCTGGAAAGTCATTAGATTTGAGAATTTCATGTTTCCAGGCCTTGAAAGTCATGGAAAATTAAAGTTCTGTTTGGTAGACTATGTAGTAGAGGCAAGAAATTAAACAGCACAGAGGGCAAAAGTTTGGTGGACACCATGGTTCATGTCTGTTGAATCGAGTTACGTCAAAAATGCCCTAAAACAGGGAAAGGTTTGAAAATTTTGTTAGGAGTATAAACCCCATAAGCATAGGGGCATTATCAGTGATATTTCTTTGCTGAGCTGCAAAATTAACATGGGGCTTCTGCAGAGCACATGTAGTGCATGACCCAGCTTAACTCCATAAAATTCTTCCAAAGGCTTCCAAATTGAAAGTGCAGTTGCTTTTTATTAACAACCAAGGGACACTTGCACAGTGTTCGTCTGAATCTGTGAACACTTTGAGCCCGTACAGCNTTTCTTACCCTCCAATGTAACATTTCTCATTTTTCTTTTGGTTCTTTTAACACTTTAGTCCCGGACAGCCTTAATGTGTTGTTTTTTTTTTGGCTTCAAAGTGGGCGTGCGAGACATATATAAATTTGTTGTTCTTCCTGGTAATTGCTAACGCGCGCTTTTTATATTTTGTTGGTACGAGTGTTCACATGTTGTGTTTTTTTTTTTTTTTATGTTGTAACCCCTTTTATAATCCTGAGGTGAAGGCTGTTAAATGCAGCCAAAATATAGGTTCACCGTGTTAAGAAACATCTGGTGTCCTCATTTGTGATGGATATATTATTATGTTATTTAATTATTATTATTTTATCAATAACTGCTTTATTTGTTCATTATAAGGTGACTGTTACATATAGTTGTCCCAAATTGCTCTTGATTTTTTTACTGATTTTGTCTTCTGTTTCTCTTATAGACACGGAAAGTGGCAAACAACCCAGTATTAGTATGAGTCAGGACTGCTCTAGCTTAGACAGTAGCACCATTGGACCCCGAGGGGGAGGTGATGGTGACAGTCATGCCTCACTGATTCCTGGACCCCGCAGTTGCACTGTCAGCATCGCAAGTAGCTTTGACAATTTTAACATCAACAATTGCGATGGTTTTGCTACGACATCTTCAATTGCAGAGGCTATGGTGGCAGACGATATTGTTGAACAAACCTCAGTTACTAACATATCCCATCATGGTAGTACCGTGGACAAGGACAGTTTATCAGTTTTGGAAAGTGTTGGTAGTAATGAAGATGATTAATTTGTTACACACTTTATCTAGCTGAGTGTTTTGTCTATGCATGTGCACAAACAAGTGGGGTTTCTTTTGCTCCTTTGTGTTTAGCATTCTCTCTGTCAAGTCATATTGAAATATGATGTTACAGGTATTTTGCAAATCCCACCATTTTGATATGCACAAATGAACTAAAATTGCTGGTTTTTGTACCGGGATATTATTAATGTAAATGAATTAATGTTAATCAACACATGAAATGTAAAGTTAAGTATTTTTTATAATTTCCGTAATTATTTTGTACATTCTGACTTTTCATTTTGCTTTAGTCATCATTCAATAAGATGTACCAGTAGTAATATTTCTGCCATTAGAATAATATTAATTATCATAGAAGAGGAGTTATATTTATTTGACGAAAATGATAATTTATCTTAGGTGAGTTTTTTCTTCAATTAAGTGTACATAATTTAAGTTGTCATTTGTGTTTTCAAAGAATTTTTTTGTTTCCTTGACTGCACTTTCCTGTTGCATTTTTAATGAGCAAGCGGTTATTGTTTCTTGATGGTTTTTTTTCTAACAAACATTTACAAATTGCATTGTGTTAATTAATTTGCATACAGGTTGAAAACTTTGGAAGCTTTATCAATTGTAATGTGGCATGCATGGACATAATAAATGCTATAACTTTTTGTTTATTGTGGGATTGAGAAGAATGATTATGGTTTTAAACTATCGATGGTAATTGTGTTGTATAATTAGGTTTATATATATCCATGACTGCCCTGATTCATGAGGAAGTCAGGCAGGTGCTGAGAGCACATTTGAATTTACAATCTTCAATGTTCCTTGGATGAACTTTTATCTTGTTCTCAATCTCATTAATAATAGATTAAGCTATTTACAACAAAGGAGTTTTTGAAGACCTTTAGTATGGATTCATTTGTACCATATATACATGTATACAGGGTCCGAAATTGCGCCTTCTCGGTCGCCAATGCGATCAAAATTCAGTTCTGGCGACCAGAATTTCATGGCCGGTCGCCAGCTGGCGACTTGTAAAGGTGGTTGTTATTGTAGACTTTCACGTTCGGAGAAAATGATTAGGAATTGAAACCTCGAAGCTATTTGCCAACAGGGGCGTACTTTTTGTCCTGCTGATATTTTTTTAATTTAAAAGTGAAACGAATCTTCCTGTAAATATACCTCCACAACAGCTACCATCAATACGAGTTGAACATTTCCAAGCCGCCAAGGGGGATTTTTTGGCGACCATAATTTGCCCTCTGGCGACCAAAAATTTATACTTGCTCACCAGTTGGGGCCCATATTAAAAAGTTAATTTCGGACCCTGGTATAGCCTTCACATTTGCCCCTGGAATTTTTTATTGTTTTTGAGTTTTATTTTTTTCTTAATAAGTAAATAAATTGCAACAGGCAAATGCGATGGCTAGACACGTAGGTGTATGCTGCAAATGAATACCCACCCACATTAGGATAATTGGTCATTTGGTAATATCCAGCCTGTCTGGATATTTGTTGAAAGACTGCCTCATGTTTCATGTATTTACTATCAATAAAAGGTTTATGGAAAAAGAAAGGAAATCACCTAAGTGCCACAAAAATAATCACGTTTTGTGGAAAATTTCTTTTGCTAAGTGTTTTAACTAGTATCCAGACAGCTTACAGCCGAATTAATTACAAAAGCAAAGGATGTGGCTTTAAGCTACCCACTTTGTGTTTGACATTGGTTTTAAAACTTCATGACTTGAAAAATCTTGTGGAGTTACCAGATTATATTGTTACAGTTTACTTGGATATCAGGAGATTTAATAGTCTTGCAATCAAATTTCCATTAGCTAAACTTATGGTTTCTCATGTATATAGAATCCTACTGTAATATACAATCTTTTCAATTGTCTGTAGTTATTGATAACAAGAACTTATTCCTGCAGTAAAAGCATATTAGTCTGTACATACACTGTAGATAGTCATTCTTCCTCGCATCTATATTAAAAGGTAAAATAATTTTTTCTTTGAAGTAAAATAAAATATTCTAATTTTTGACTTACTAGATGTTTGAGCATTGGCATTATCATAAACAGGTGGTCTCCCCAGTCCACTTCGTCTTACACTGGTGGATTCAGTGTACCCTCCCTTCCGCTTTCTCTGCTGTTTGGGTAGGGTGGGGAGTAGAGCCTAAAGGCTCTTACGATTTGTCAGAACTGGCTGCCCAGACCGGTAGAGTCGTAAGGAGAATTCCAATATTAATGAGCTTAGTTCCTAAATGGTATGCACAGATGTGATGGGTTTTAGTAAAAATTTTGAGGAAAAACTAATATTTCATTTTCCAATTAACTGGTCTGGCCTGCTAGTTCTGACTTTGGGAAAGCACCCTAAGAATAGAGGAGGCCCAGCTCTTAGAAATACCGTAAAATTCCGAAAATAAGCCCCTCCAAATATAAGCCCCCAAAAATCGTAACGCTAAAAACCCTCCGTTAAATCGCCTCTCCGAATATAAGCCCCCCGGGGGGCTGGTACTTGCAATTTGCCCTCGAATACAAAGTTAAACAAAGCAAAAATGGGAAATTTTCTTCCCACTGCAAGCTACCCCAATCGATTTTGAAACGCAAATTTCCCTCCGTACGTAAGCCCCAAAAAGGGCCTTTGAAAAATATAAGCCCCGGGGCTTATTTTCGGAATTTTACTGTATTATTTTCTCTCAGCCCTGTGGGCTTCGGTTTGGTCAAAATTAAGGTTGGAGCCCAGGGTCCCCGGCCCTCTCCCCTAGATCCGCCAGTAGGCTTTGGTAGATTGTGCTAGCATAATTTTAAGCATAATTCAGCAAAACGAGCATTATTTTAAGCTTTTATTTCAGTTTAGCACTGCTAGCATAATCCAAGCTTTTATGCGTTGAAAACAAAAAAACCTATCATAGCTCTAGAATAATTCAGTTTATTTTTTATTTCTGTATTGTTTTTGGAAAATATTGAGGTCTCTGCTAAGGCCCATGGTCAAATATGGCCCGGAAGGCGGCAGAGGTGACCCTGTGCATATCTGAGAGACTGAGACTCTCCTCAGGCCACCACACTTATGGCTCAGCGGCTCGGCCCCTCAGGCCTCCGATCAAAGATGGCGTCGTCCTCAAGTACATCCACTTCCACCACTTCCACCACATCCAGTGCCGTGCCGTCTAAAACAAGTATGCGGGCTATAACTTTCTGACCCGGATTTAGAACCCAGAAACGGTTGATTTTGTAATCATTTGTTAATCATTTGGCTTTTCGAGGTGCGCACATGCCTATTTGCGATGCTAAAGACTGTAAGACTGGAAGGTGGACTATATGACTGTTCATTAAAGTCAAAATTGATAGAGTTAAGCTACTGATAATCTTCATTTTCCTTTAAATCAATGTAAAATCTAAGCATAATTTCGGTGACAGAGAGCATAATTTTCAGAAAGTAGCATGATTTTGGTATAATTTCTAAAAAAAATATGAGCACTGCTAAAAGCATAATATCCCTTTTTTTCGAGCACAATCTACCAAAGCCTATCCGCCAATAAAGAGAATTATTGTAACGTTTACGGCAAACTTTAGTTGAGAATTTCTCAAAATAGAAAATACGGAGATAAAAACAGTCCAACACGATTGTTACAGACAAAACTAACATGAAGGTAGAAGCGATGAACACAAAACCCTGATTTACTTGCAACTGGTCACGTGGTACAATTGACGTTTGCCGTTTGCGGTAAACGTCACTCTAAATCTCTCCAATGTTTGTAACCTGCGATCAGACACTGTTCCAATCTACCACTTAACAACTGTTATTATCACTACACGCGGCCAAATGACAAACTGCCCTCTCTAAATGGAATTTGCAGCCCGCAGCATGATTTCATGTTAAGCAATCTGTCCTTATGAAATAAATTTGTGCGCTTTGGCCTTGTGTACTCATAATAATGATAATCACATGACTACCTTTTGTCGGGCATGTAGTTTATTTCTGTCCCTCTCATATAATTTTCACCCTCGCTCCACAAATAATCTATATGCCCCCCAAAAGTCATGTGATTGTCCCCCCTGGATTGTCCAGTATTCGACGTTGCTTGCGTTTAATTCGCGCGAGGAAGAAGAAAGATAACCCTTCCTTCTCCCTTCCTCGCGCGCCTTCAATGTTCTTAAATTCCCGCCGTCTCGTACGTTTCGTAGGTCAAATGAACACCTACTTTTAGACTGCGAGCAGATTCTTCATGCAGACTTCTTTAATTTACAGCTAGAGGGCACGCCTTCGCTCGAGGTGAAGCCGTGAGAACAGAGGGCGTAAACCCAATTGCTTTTTGTTTAAAGGGCTACGTCGAAGTGAGTTTCACATTTTGGGGGTAAGGGAAAGCTTATATTTTCCCCTTTTAAAATTGGCCAAACGTCAGAGAGGCCCTTTAGGGTAAAATGTCTTCATTTAACTAGTATTGTCGCCGATCGTAGGAACGAGAAAGGGGCACCCTTTTTGTCAGTAGGAGGTACACGAAAGGGGTACTTTTTCTGTCAAACTAAAAGTGTAAGGGTCGGTTATTTAAACGAAGACTGACTTAGGCCGCCGTTTAGGAAATCGCTGGACCTTTCTGGACCTTTCTTAATGGGTTAATTTAGGAAAATAATGCTTTTCCATATATGCTTTATTCAAATTGTTCACAGAAAAATGGTGTTTATATAAAAGCGTTGGGCAAACGGAAAATGGCTAGCGCTTAGAACCCGATTTTGTTAGACACGGGCTAAACTCCGTTTAAATAACTGGCCATATAGGTTTGGACCCCTTCGTTAAGTAACCCCCTCCGGGATGATACAAGACAATGCTTGATGTCCATAATTAGCTTAATCTAGTCAAGACGGGCGCAAGAGAAGAGAAAAAAATATTACAGAAAGAAAAGCATAATAAAAGAAAACAAACCTACCGTATTTTAGTTGGCGGTATCAATACTTTTGCTAATTAAGCATTGACGTTATTGATAAAAGCGTGACAAAAAGAGTAATTGACATTAGTGATTGATCCGTACTATAGCTTTGAAAAATGTAGTTTTCTATTAAATTTTTATACATCAATAAACTATCTTCGTTCTCTAAGATCTGGAAAAAGGGATTTTCTTCAATTTAGTTTTAAACGGATTTTTATCAAGTATTTGATGGAAAGTGGGATACAGTTTGAAATTAAGGTGGCTCGATGGGATTTTTTGGGGATCAATGCACCCCAAGTTTGAACATAAACTACGTCGCCATTAACAGACTTTGAAATTACCACCACAGCTGTATTAGGTAAAGATGAAAATTTGTTATGATCAGGGTTACAACGACATCGGAGTTGTCATAGCAACGAAATGACGCCGTTACCTATTTTACTTGCAGCCTTATTTCTTGGTGCTGGGAACTGTTCTTCCACAATCGTTCACGGGAGCTTTTTCCTCCAATAGCCGCCTCGGCGTTCGTCAGTCATGGGAGTTGAAGACTGTTCCATCGAGTAGAATCGCACGTGAAAACCTCGTGAATTATGATGATGCAACCATCTACAGTGGAACCTCGATATAACGAAGGGCCAAGGGACTGGCAGAATTTGTTGGCTACAACGAGGTTTCGTTATATCGAGGTTCGTTTTCATATAATTTTACTATAACTGGGGTACCACAATGATAAAAATCCTGACATTTCGTAACTATTGAGTATTCGATATTCGATGAGCCACATTTTCTTAAGAAATTCCCGAAGAAACCTTCGAGCTTTCCTTCTAATCAACGTTTGGAGAGTTGAGTTTATTGCGCTTTAACAATTTGTTTAACTTGCACCAGATGTATCAAGGAAAGACAGAGGAAAGTGAAAATATAGCAAGAGGATGGACTCAGCTGAGCGTTTCGCGTTTTCATTCATGTACAGCAATACCCAATTTCGCACAAAAAAACAGTCGTATATTTAGGATGAAAAAGGTATATTCAATCATTACGTATTCTTAGTACTGTTGCACTGAAGCATTCAAAATAGCTCATGCACGTAAAACGTGCCTGTGTTTCTGGCATATGGCTGGATGCTTCGGATGCCAAATAAAAACTGCATGAGGCATTATCCGAGCGGTGAAACATTAAAAGTGCGTAGAAACGCAATCTTGGTTTTTGTGAAAAAAATTACATTGAGTGACAGGCAGCCATTCAGTACGTGATAACAGCCGGTAAAATTCCACTGAGAGCTATAAAACCTTGACGAAACAGAGCTGTGATTGCTTTCCTCGGAACTTAATCAATTGAGTGATACTCAATATGTACAATTGATTTATGCCAATATATGCTTAGCCTAGTTCTCATTTTTTTTAATGCAACGGGTTTCATTCAAAACGAACTGCTTTAGTTCCTGTTGACATGCTACCTGGCCTATTTGGGGTCCCCATCTCCAGTGCCGTAGCCAGACCAAACGGCCAACCGAGGCAGGCGGGAGTTGCTAGGGGGGTTCGGGGGCATGCCCCCCCCCCCGCCCCCCGAGAAATTTTGAACTTTAGTCTCTCGGAAATGCGATTTGCAGCGTTTTCTGGGCCTTTCGGTAACTTTTTTTCGAGTTAATTTAAGTGGAATTTAAAAAGCAATAATCAGAAACAAACTACATAATCTGGGTGACCGTTAACCTCGCCAATGGTTTTGATCAGTATTTGTTCAAAAAAAATTTGAGTTAACGTACGTAGCCCCTTGAGATCGATGATATGGTAATTTTTTCATAGTATATTGACTGAATTGCTGAATTCTTTGTAATATCATGATGCGTTAAAAATATCCGATGATCGCTTATGTAAAATAAAAATGATCGGCGAAATTCGTCAAAATTTTACCGAGGCGAGTGCCTCGGTTGGCCTCATACTAGCTACGGCGCTGATCTCCGTGTAAACAGGCCCTTAGATATACTCTATTGTTCCATATTCATCTTGAAATAAGTATGTAAAAAAAAAGGCAACGTTGGCATATCTTTGAAAATCATAATAAACCACTTAATAGCCAAATTAATTATTCACCGGGAGTCACAATATCACGCAACAATTGCCCGTTAGATTATTTTTGATCACCACAAATTTCGAAAGCTACTGAACACTAATTCTGCACTAATTGCAGGCTGGGCATTTAAGGATCGAGGGAACTTTTACAGTTTAGGTAGATTCACTGAGAGGAATGTCAGATTTCTGCAATTTCTTTCCTGGCAAAATCGCTTCAATACACAGTAATTATTCAATGTTAGTTTCCCATGCATCTGGTATTTTTTGGGAATAGAAACCTACAACTTTGAAATGACTGAAAAACCCATCGTGCAATAACAAAAACAACCCTTGTCTTGGTACTTGTTACGTTCTTTTTCCATTCATTTTTTTTTCTTAGCTGACGAAAAGCAATAATGGCTTCTTTACCGGGTCTGGGCTGGTTCTCGAGATAGCTGACAAACCCCACATTTGTTGCTTTCGTTAATATAACTTGAACATGTGTTTCATGAGATTTACAGATCCTAGTTTCATGAAGGGCTTACGAATTAATAGACTGCGAGCAGTTTCTCTTTTGCTCGAAAATCTGGAAGCGAGAGTATTTGAGCAGCGAAGTCGCGCGAGTTGCGAGGGCTCGAGTTGGAGAAGGTGCGATTAGCGTTTTACAGACATCACAGCGGGCTTAAAGTCACTAAGGTGACTAAAATCAAATTATAACTTTTTTTAGAGACTAAATGGTAATAAATGCTTAAAAATCAAGGCGATGTCTTTATGGTACTATAGCTTTGTTTATATATCTAGAGTTGAACTGCGTTCCACCAGTTCCACGGTTTAAAAAGCAAACGTCGTATTGGCTTCGTCGCTTGACTTTGACATGATGCTTTTCAAAATATGTTTTACTTATAAATCACTTCCTTTAATTTTTTATATTGTTGATTTCCTCAGTTTATCGTGTGCACCTCCAAACTATAGCCTTGTTCTGCTTCATTTACATTCATTTTAGAGAAATTTTAGAGTTTTATGGAGGACGTGAACATCCGACAACAAATTTCCCTTTATCTTTTTGAACCTGGATAAAGTCCTTAAGAGTTCAACTCCCGGAAAAGTCGCCTGCATTTGGCATATTGAGCGGGACCAAATAGACGAGAAAAAAGTTTGTTAGCGACGTCTTCACTGCCCGTCGTCGATATCGGCCTCCCTAGCTGCTTAAGCAGTCCCTATTTTTAAGTGAGGTACAATTCTAAATTTTATAATGCTAATTGTGCGGTAGAAGCCAAAGATTGACACTCGTCAAGAAGTTCAAGAACAATAATAGCCGGAATTTCCTGCCCAAACGCTACGCGCTACGCGCTACGCTTCGCTAGGCTTGGTTGAAAAAGGCCGCTAAATATACAACATCGCATAACCATAAGTCTAATCCTAACAATTGTCCACAAAACCCAAAAAAATGAATAGAATACATTAAAGTCATTGCACCGTGAACACACCCAAAACAACCTTACGTTTTACATCGCGCTGGTTCGAGATAAGTTGAAACAAAGAAATTTCTGCCTTAAAGATAAACAAACGGCCATGAGGTGTATACGGCCATGAGGTATATAGCGGCCATGAGGTGTATACGTTGCTGGTAAAGCAGAAATTAACTGCAACAATGAAATAAATGTTACTTTTATTGCAATTTCAGAGATGGCCACACATAGAAAAAAATGCCTCTGTATTAACTATTTCAATGTATTCAAAGCTAGTATCAGCCAAAGATTGACACTCGTCAAGAACAATGATAGCCGGAATTTCCTGCCCAAACGCTACGCGCTACGTGCTACGCTTCGCTAGGCTTGGTTGAAAAAGACCGCTAAATATCTGAACCCATATAATACTAATTTTGTACCTGTAGCTAGCAGCCGGTGATGGTACTCTGCGGAAATACAACATCGCATAACCATAAGTCTAAACCTAACAATTGTCCACAAAACCCAAAAAAATGAATAGAATACATTAAAGTCATTGCACCGTGAACACACCCAAAACAACCTTACGTTTTACATCGCGCTGGTTCGAGATAAGTTGAAACAAAGAAATTTCTGCCTTAAAGATAAACAAACGGCCATGAGGTATATAGCGGCCATGAGGTGTATACGTTGCTGGTAAAGCAGAAATTAACTGCAACAATGAAATATATGTTACTTTTATTGCAATTTCAGAGATGGCCACACATAGAAAAAAATGCCTCTGTATTAACTATTTCAATGTATTCAATGCTAGTATCATTAAATAAATGACCACGTGGAGCGACGTTGCGTGTGCGCATATCTCGCATGACTGGCTTGCTTATAACCCCGGCCCACCACTTCTTTCCTTTTCCTTGAGCACACCCCCTCGATTGGCCAATAAGAGCCTCAAGTCTTCTCAATCTGATAAAATAAAACTGCGTATTATCTGAAGGACTTTCATATCTTGGGACCGCAAGCTTCGAGACTACGATAAAAATGTCCAACTAAACAGATATTTTGCGCATGTGGAGGCTGAAAAGTTTCGACCAGTTTTGCCAAGTTTTCTTTACTCAAAGACAAACAATCAAGAACGGACAAACAAGAGAACAAAACGACTAAACATTTTTTAAAAGAGGCGTAACTAGTGTTAATCATGACGGCGGACGTAATGTGCGTCGCATTACTTATAATGATGTGCGCACTTGGGTACTGTGTGATGAAGCTTTGTTTATCTCTGATAAACGCCAGTAAACGAATAGTTCAAACCACTGAGATGGGCACAGGAGAGCAAATTCTGGTTCAAAGAGTTGCAGACACCTTGCGAGGCTTACGAACAAACAGCATGGAAATACATCCCATCGGCTACATTCCTAGGAATGCGTACGCCGAAAGAAGGGTAACCAAGTCATTTTCAACAAGTTCATTTTGGCAGTTTTATTATTAATAAGTATTTTATTTGATCTCAAATCAACAAACATGCCAAAATGGTTAGCACGAAGTAGCTATTAATCAATTATGTATCTGTTTTTGTACTTTGTGATAAAGACTTACCCTACGATGAGAGCAGCCGACGACCAAAGAGCCTTCCATCTGGCTCAAGAAACGGACAGAACAGAGCAAAGAACAGTCAGACCTGCGGACATTGGGCATATTACGTACCGCCATCGCCCTCAGGAACATGACGAACGAACAGTAAGTATAGGTCACTCACTTCCGTTTGATAACTTATACTGATTTCAAACCTGCCTTTTCTATAAGTATACCAAAGGCATAAGGACAGAATACTTTCTGTGTATGAAATAGGTGAATCTTGTTAGTCTTGTTACCCTGAGGAGTATTTACAACACAAAAGCTTATAGGCCAGACCAAATGTCTGAAACAAATAATTCAAATGAAATATAACAAGGTTAAGAATCACTACAGGCCGAAACAGGCAAAAAAATTGATTTCGATTTTTTGAATTTCAACTCGCGACTACCGAGAATCAAATCAAACGAGTGACAGTAGAGTGGGAATTTAACTCGAGGCCTCCAGATTGCCTGTCACTATATAGTTCAGTCAATTTCTTCAGAGTATGCAAAAGTAAATCCGTA